ATTTTGTATAATTTGTGTGGTAGTCTCATTCTTGATGTACATAAACTTTATTCTGCATTATTATTCTGCAAACAAAGAGAGTAGCCGTGATCTGAAAACAGTTGTCCAACTAGTTTTCAAAATATTAGAAAAATGATTAGGGCCGATTGTGCCCTCTCGCAAATTACAAACCACGTGAGACAGAACTCTGATTATGCATGTAAAACGATTCTCGTTTCAGTGGAGGAAGCTGCCTGCAGGGGAAAAGCAAATCTGGGAGGAACGGGCGATCAAAATGAACGAGGATGGTGGTCAGCTGAAGGGAACGACCACGATAGGCACGAATGCTACGCAAGACGTCGTATTCGAGTGTTGTTGGGACAATTGCGACTTTCAATTCGAGGACATGACTGACTGCATCGATCATTGCATCGCGGAGCAGACCGGTCATGTACAAACATCGTTCGCGAACGCTCTTAATGGTGAATATTCGGATCCATGAAAGGAGATTTTCACACATAATTGTAAAAGTAGAACATTAAGGCTCGTGGCTCCTCGCCGGCTATGTTGGAATTGTGACGTCAAAAGCGAGAAAATACGCGTTAAAAATTCTTAGACCCCATTTCGAAATAAATAAATATTTCAATGAAACAACACTTCAGATGGCTTTAGTATACTCTTAAAATATCTCGAAAACTATCTTTTTTCTTTATAATCAATCAACAATTGGAAAATGACTGTAATATGAGGCTTAGTCCATCTGGAAGTTGTGTTTTATCAAAATATTTTTTTATCTAAAAATAATGTGCATGAATTTTCAGCGTGTATTTTCTCGCTTTTGATGTCACAATCTAACATAGTCGCAGTGAGTACCAAGGAGCCTTAAATTATTAGATCTGTTTGTTTTAGCTGAACGGGCTGCACTAGTTCAGAGTTTATCCTTTTTACTCGACATTGGAAGGAAAAAGATAAACTTTGAACTAGTGCAGCCAGTTCAGTTAAAACGAATAGACTTATTGCGAATATATTTTACAGACGTGGAGTTTCAATGCCAATGGCGTGGTTGTGGCCGAACAAAGAAATCCGTTCCGCCGTTCCCGAGTGTACAGAGACTCGCGAGACATGTCAAGGAAGTGCATATCATCAAATCGCATGGCCGTATAATACCGCCCTCCGAAAGAAGCAGGTATAGAAATTATTTCCTTCTTTTTTTTCTTTATATCGTATTATGTAGCTATGTTAATATATGTTAATTATGTATGACCTTGCAGAAATTATATGCCTTCGAAAGGACCTACGGTATTACCATCGATGGAAACAGGTAAAATTATATTATTTATAATATTATATTAATTATATATTATATATATAATTATATATGTATATTTTATATAATTATATATAATTACATGTAATAATAAAATAATATGCTAAATTGCATATGATACGAATAAAATATGTTTCTACAAAAACACCTTTTGTAGAAACTTCAGCAGCTGCAACTCAGACAAACAGCGTACCTGCTACTAAGCAACCAGAACCGATGTTTGTCGCAGTACCTCCAAGACCGAGTCGTGTATTACATTCAGATGCTTATTTGAGGTAAGCTTTTCAAGCATAAATATACATTTTGCAATCCTTTTTAACATTGTATAAAAAATATATTGATTTTTTTTCACTCACGTACAGGTACATCGAGGGATTAAATGTGGATAATCGTTACATATCAAATTGGGACAAGCAGATGAACGCCAATCCGGATAATACGCAAATACCCGAAGGCGGAGCGAAGTTGCCCGCCGAGTGGTTGGGCAACGGCGTTGGTAATCACGGAAATGTAGTGAACGCCTTGTGGACACTCAGAAACATGATGATGCGGGATGTGTTAGCCATCAATAAAACTTTATAGTTTATAAATTGTTAAGATTTATAATTTTTGACACGTAATGCAACCTACACTATACAGATCCGTTGACGCTAGACGAAAGACTGATGATATTCAATCATTTGAATGTTATAATATTTATATTTAGAGAATTTATTTTTTGTCTTAACATATCAATACCTAATTTTTTTAAATTTTATTATATACAGAGTATCGAAGAGATAAGTTTATTTGAAACTTTAGATCAAAAGTATTTTATATTTTGCAAATTATTTGAGATATAATTTGAAATTTTTATAATTAGTTTGTCTTTTTTTAATGTTTTTATCTTTTTATTTAATTCTCGTTAAAAAAAATTCTGGTCTTTACGAACTTTTGACCGTATATTGTTTAAATATACGATGTATGTACATAAGAAGACAAAGCACGTACTATGTAGAAAACAATCATTATGTAAATACATCTGTCCTAATTTTCATTTTCACTTTTCGAACAAAATTTTATACTTTCTGTATAGCGCAAATAATACATATTCTTGTATCAAGAAATACAAAAAGAAATGAATCTTCATCGCGCGCGCGCGAAAATGCCTATATAGTGTAGGAAGTTGTATATGTATATAGAAACTACAGTAATCTCTGCGAAACATTGAGATGGTATCTCACGCTCTTTTATTAATACTGCTTTAATATTCTCGGAAGATATTGACAAAGGTGAAATTTAATCAAATGATTTTACTTACTGTTATTTATATATAATAGTAAAAAGAAGGACGAAATCTCTCTCTCCTCTTCATCTTGTACGCAACAATATAATACCTCATAGTAGATTATTTTTTAGGACAAATTTTTCTCGATACAATTGGAAGAGAATTTTCAAAACGTACATGCTGAGGCACATACGAGACGAGATTTTTACTACAGTATTCTGTACATATGTTTCTTGATACGATGTTATATTTGTAGGATTAACTACGCTCTCTTTTTCTACACGCGAACGGCTTAATATTGGAGTCTTGAATTTATTATATGTCTTGGCTAAATAAATTTTCGCTGCTATTGACATTGTGAAATACATTTTACTAACAAAAAGCATAAAGATTACTTTTAAATTCGATTAATGTGGCTGAATAAAGCCTCACACTTTTTTTCATAGAATTTGATTCTTATATTCGTTACTCGTTAGCTCATTACTAGCGAGAAATTTAATTTGTGTGATGTATAATGTGTTTGTTATCCTCTAATATACATTATTTAGTACTTGTGACAAAGTATCGTATATTTTTGTACACATAATCTACCGATATCTATACATAATGACAAAAATTTCTCTATGTAAATTATAATGTCAGAGACTTTTTTTACAAGAAAAAAAATTTGATATTAAATAGTATATCTAATATACCATCGCTAATAAATTCGCAGTATTTTCTAAAAACTAGCTTTAAAATTTAATCTAGCAAAAAGTGCTTTATTTTTACATAGTGTAATTTATTACTATGATAAAATTTTTGTCTGATTTACAGATACTTTCTTATATGTGTATAACACATCAATTTTATGTTTTCTTACATCGAAGAACGATCTTAATTCCCTACAAATAAATTGCTGTGATAAATTAATCGTATTATATCGAAGAGTAAGAGAATTCTTTTTTGCAGTTCTTCAAATATATACACATATAGCTTATAGAAAATGTAGTGTCTTCAAAAATCGCTAACTCTGCCACCGTGCTGCCAGTCTCCCCATTTAGTAGGATTCTTCTCGCTATTTGTTATTAACTCTCCAGTTTTGGGATCAGTTTCCACTAACACCAAGTCCACAAATCGTTCTCGCTGTTTTATTTCTATTTATTAAATTAAGAAAGAGTTACGTTGCGAAACTACAGTCTTAGATATATAATTAAACCTTTACAGAAAAACTTACAATTTTATATAAAATTTTTTATAAAAAAAATTGTGCTGTTATCTTTGCTAAAACTAATTATTTTATCAATTATGTATATGCATATATACAATGTATATATATGTATACTTGGTATCGGCTGCAGTTTGAGTTTTTCATGAAACTGCTTCATTCGCGGCGACTCTTGCTTTTCTGAAATCTCATCGTTTAATTCCTTCTTCATTTGTAATAGTGAAGAACCTAGTCAGATTACTTATTTAATTTTTACATATTTTTGTGTGTGTGTGTACGAAAGAAATTTTGACATACAATTGGTGAAAAAAATAATATATAAAATATGAAAAAAAAATATATTCACCAAAATATATTTCGAAAAAATGTAAAATGGTTTAAAACAAACTTGGCTCATACTTATGACCAATCGTCTGCAACTTTTTATTATCTGTAGATTCGATCGATTTATGCGAATCATTGTATGCAAACTCCGGTGGAAACTTTTACGTGGTGCAAACTTTTGCTAATAATCGCTATTCATCGACGCGAAAATATCAAGATAATTTTTAATTTTGTTAAAAAAAGACTATCGTCAAGATACGCAGGGTAAGTTACACTCCTGTGAAATCTTTTCGTAATAAATAAATTTCTTTGTCTTTATATAGAGAATCAAGGATATATATTAGTCATAAATATAGTTATTTTTCTTGTCAATTAAATCAGGTCTCGATCGAAAGACCGAGAATAAAAGTGGTTTAACAAATTTTAATGATTAATTAATTTATAATTAAACTTTAATAAAATTGTGCATTAAATTACAGTATTTATACGCTTTAAATTTATAAATATATTTCATTGATAAATCATCAGATATAATATCTGACAATGATCTGAGTGATGCTTGATTTTGATTTTGTTTAGAAAAACTTATTGCATGACTAAAATTTCCGCGATCGCGAAAAGAACCTCATATTTTGCAATGCAAACTTTATACTACATATATTTATTATAAAATTTATATTTACAATTTTTATTCTATAAAATAGGAATTCATTTTTTATTACGTATATGTATACTCTATTTAATTTAATATCGTGTTTAATTTAATAACAAAGACATTTAATTTATCGAGGTAGTGTCTAATTATTAATAAACTCCTAAGATGACAGAGGGTTATCAGAAGTCTGTCACACGACCTTTTCTCTCCCAATCGCCATAACGAGTTGGTTCTGGTCCTCGAGGACCTCCGATTTCGCCTGTTTCCGGATTCGTATTGTTCGGGAACGGTTTCAAGGGTTCTTTCTCCTGATAAGGGTGTTTTCCTTCTTCTAACTCCTCTAATTTCTCTGTTATGTTTAAAATTCCACCCCTTTAGTTCATGCAGAAATATATTCAAAATAGATGAGAGAGAGATAGCGTTTCTCTCTTTTTATATTAATATAATAAATTAATATATAATTAAATTAAATTAAATATTTATACGTATTGAAAAATAATCTTACCTATAGGGGTTTGTTCGCGCAATTTTTTTCGGAATTCACGTAATCTCGGACTCTCGCCCGTCTCATCCACGCTTTTGGATGAGAATAAACGTGCAAGTCCTTTAAGAATAAAATGAAAAAATCATGCAATATTTGTTCGTGATATACTTAAATGCTAATATTTTTCGTTTGTACCTTTTAAATGCGATCGCGAACTTGAAATCGATGTGTTAATAATTCCTGCCATTCTTTGCCCGTACACGAATATTTTTTTATATTATTCTATTCTTTTCTTCAAAATATTAGATTCTATTTAGTCTTCTCGCAGATTTCACAACAAGATCCAACGTACGAAATTTTTTACGAAACACGTTGACAAGTTGAATTCGGCTGATACGCACGTGTCACGAAACAGCTGATTCTCTCCCATAACCTAGAACATGATTTATTTAAAGTCGCAGCCCCTTTTTATAAAGATGAAGATGACGTTTTATGATCTATAAATAATACAGAGAATATATGCATTTCTATACTATACTTTAAATTATTATTAATCGCATAGATCTATGTATTGTATGAAGTGTGAAATCGAGTCGTGTATCGTCGACAAAATTACATCGAATGAAAAAAATCGAAGATTATTTTCCTCATTATATTTAATTAATGTTGATAATAATTTCCATATGTTTATTTCTGAATGTTCAACATTTTACATCGTTTCTTGAAATTGTGCACTTACAGTAAATGAACAATATGAACAGAGGACGCAGAATTATTATTATCCGTTTAGTGAGTTCAGAAATTTTACTCGAAAGAATAAAGTAATTCTTAATTAACCAATCAAAAAAGGAGCAAAAATCTTTATATCGCCCGATTGAACACTTTTCGAACACACCCCCTAAAGATTGACCTCAAAATAAAAAAAGATTAAAATAATATTATGCAATATTATATGTTGAAAAAAAATTAAATATTCCAGTAACCCAGAGATTTTCATCCTCGTTCAAAGACGTCGCGTCATAAACGAAGAGGTGACATTCTGGAGTAAATGACGTCACTCACGTCATCAATCCAGATCAGCTGTTCATCTCTTCGGTCGACGCTTGCTCGGTGTTGTTTTTCCCTTGGCCGGATAGAAGTGACGGGACGGAGTCGACGACCTGGAGTTAAGTTTTACGAGGAACTGTTATGAGATCGGAACGAAGCAAAGATCGCTCAAATCGACGACGCCAACTGTTATCGTGAGTCTTGGCGTAAAATTCCGCACAAACCGATTGACGTCTTAAATGAGTACCACGTAGTGGAGCGTAGTATCGTTTAATTCCAAGTTTTAACTTGACTCGTCGCACATGACATGAGACGTTGAAGTACTGAAAGGCGGGAAACGATCCTATCGGCCAGGGCGAGAGGATGGGGCAGACGCTCAGCGAACCGGTGACGAAGAAGAAATCGGCCTGTTGCCGGGACAGCAATTATCGTGTCGGTAGCTCCTGCATGCAAGGATGGCGCATTAAGATGGAAGATTCGCACGTGCACATACTCTCCTTGCCCAGTGACCCAGGCAGTGCGTTCTTTGCAGTCTACGATGGACATGGGGGTATGTATAAGCGCATACAGGGTGTCCCATAGAAATAAATTGCTGAAACTAATCAGCTGTCAAATAAATAAAATGTATACCAGTTTATTTTATTGAAAAATGTAATGAAAAAAGTGCTAATAATCACATATGTAAACTAATGATAATCGATATCCATTAAAAACTGTAGACTTTACTCTTTTCAACACAATTTTTGTTTTTTCAATAACTGCATGCATTGAAAAATGACAGCTGATTAGTTTCAGCAATTTTTTATGAGACACTCTGTACCTTAAGTCTGTTCTTTTTAGTTGAACTGGCTGTACTAGTTCAGAGTTTATCTCTTTCCTTCCAATGTGGAATAAAAAAGAAACTCTAAACTAGTGCAGCCAGTTCTACTGAGAAGAACAGACCTCTTCTTTCTAGAAACAGAATAAACAGATTTAATGCTCAATGGATGATATTTGATCAAGCATTTTTGAAAAGTCTTATGTAAATCCATAAATCTTATATCTCTTAATATCTCGTTGCATCCTTTCTTGATATCTATTTACATAAATATATTTTTGTAGGTGCAACCATGGCGCAGCACGCTGGCAAACATCTTCATGAGTACATAACTAAAAGAAGCGAGTACAAAGCGGGCGATATTGTGGAAGGTATACAGCAAGGCTTTCTGGAACTGGACAAAGCGATGCAGAACAACGCGACTCTAAGGGATGAACACGCTGGGACCACTGTCATCGCGCTACTTGTCAAGGATAACATTTTGTACAGCGTAAGTCGTTCGTTAATTTTGAAGACGAGATATCGGCGTAATCTCCTCTTCGCACATTCGAATACCTGACCTGAATGGAAAAGCTTTTCAGGCTAACGCGGGTGATAGCAGAGCGGTGGCCTGTATCGGTGGCAGGACGGTGCCCCTTAGCCGAGATCACAAACCCACGTTGAAGGACGAGCGCAAGCGAATCGAAGCGGCAGGTGGTTTTGTCGAGTACAAAAGGGTCAACGGCAATCTTGCGTTGTCTCGCGCCCTTGGGGACTTCATATTTAAGCGAAACGATCATAAATCAGCGCAGGAACAAATCGTGACTGGTAAATAAAAACGGAATCTACAGTGTCTGACATAAGGTGTCACACCGAAAATGTACAAGTAGATCTTGTTATTTGGAGACAATTTTTCCTCAACAAAAATATTGAAGCATCAATAATTTTCGAGTTATAAGTAAAGATAAAAAGTAAAGGGGTTTTCGCAAACTAAGCCTAATATTAACAAAACCACATTCTTCAATTAATTTCAAGTAGAGTTTACTTTAATAAAATTTTAATTTAAGATTTAGTTATAAAGATACATAATAGCAAAAATTGGGAACATGCAAAAAATGATGGCCTCCCTCGACACTTTTGCTGAGGAAAAATCGCCTCCAAATAACGAGATCTACTTGTATATTTTCGATGTGACACTTTATGTCAGGCACTGTATATATAAATGGATGGCTAGATGAACTATTACAGTGATCATATTTTCTGAGGAAAAATGACAAATTTGAAAATTTCAAGGCCTATTTACATGTTTCTAAATCAATTTGCAATCAAGGTGGAGCAAAAAAATAATTCTGCGATTATCACAAGTCTATATATATATATATATATATATATATATATATATATATATATATATATATATAATATATATTTGTATAGTTTAAAACTGATTCTACAACTATGTTGAAACAAATCCTTGGTTTCTTAAATAAGTTTTGGAGAAGAATTTTCATTGTTTTTGTACAAATTCTCATTAATATTACGACATTAGATATTAAAACGCTAAATAAAAAATAAAAGACAAAACTGAGTTTTGGAAAAATGAATAAATCTAAAAGACAGCTACTTAAAATATAGGACTGTCCTCTAAAATAAAGGACGGATAGTCACTGTAACTATAATACAACTTTCAATATATATTTGACGTTAGCAAATTTTTCGTAGCCTTCCCCGAGGTACAACAATTTCCTATAACCGAAGAGTGGGAGTTCGTTGTTCTGGCGTGCGACGGTATCTGGGACGTGATGACCAGCGAAGAGGTTGTTAAATTCGTGAGGACGCGAATAGCCCAGATGAAACTTGGCGATGCGGAGTCGCATCGCAACGTTACGATACATCCCGAGGAGATCTGCGAAGAGCTTCTAAACTGTTGCTTGGCCCCGGACGCTCTTATGGGCACGGGTTGTGATAATATGACAGTGATACTCGTGTGTTTTCTTCACGGCAAACCGTGTTCGCAATTGGTGTTGCGCTGCCAGGACTTACCGCCGAGTATAGATCTATAACTAGTTTTTTTTATTTAAATTTAGCGAAAAAGATAAATTAATTGTTTGACCTAAATTATATTGTTACGTGTATTTTACTTTCGTCTATATACCTTGACTTTTGATATAGTAATATTTGTTATGACAATGTATTACACAATACACTGGCTTTGTTGATAAAGATGAGCGGACGTATATTTATAAAATACATTTTGCATTTATATTTTCGTTCTCGAAACTGCGTAATTTTTATATTGCACTAAATTTGTAACGATCGTCAATTTTTTTGATCAGTTTCATACATCTATTTATGTGTGCGCGACACACCCGTAGAATAAGCTACGCAAAAGCTCAATTATAAGCTTTTATTTACAACTCTGAACAATGAACAAGACTGAGTCCGGATAATAAGTATTGTAACAATTTCCGTGAAGCGCAAAAAGATTTCGTTTAAAATCCATAACGATCTTGTATAGAGGAAACCGCCGCATTTGCGAGCGAGCTAAGTCTTCCAGCAACCTTGTTTACACCTTGACGTACACTCTCTCGGACATCGTCGAGATCCACGACACCAGCCCTTCCTGCGGTTAGACGCATAGACAACGAGGACGTGGGCGAAGTCGGCGTCGAGCCTTCAGTACCGAAATAATCGGCCGATGAAATGCTGGACGAGCCCTCGAAGCGACGCAAATTATTTTTACGTTCCCACTAAAAATTTAAAAGATACATACACTAAGTATTATTACAATTAAGAATTATTGTTTACAAAGGAGCGCTAATATAATTTTTTAAAGTACCAGTAAATATAATTTTATAGGAAACATTGATAGGATTGGGTAAGTTAATTATTTTTTTAAACTAACAATAAGTTAAAATTAAATTATATTAAATTAAAATGTCATAACTTAAAATTTTTAAATTTAATATTTTATTTGTTAAATTTCTTAAATTTATATAAAATAATAAATAATAAAATAAAAAAATTTATTTTTTTATATAGAAATATAGTCTTTTTTCTTTGTAATTACAATTATAAAAAAACTAATAGTACCTTTATTTACTTTATAATACATGTAAGAATCATATACATAATAGAATGATGCTTTTATTATAATTTAAGTGTTATTAAAAATTTAGTTGTTCAATATGTTTAAGATTTTATAGAAAAAAATTACAAAAAAGTTAGTAAGTTTAAGTTTAAAAATAACTAGTTTAAGTTAAAAATTAACTTCTTTTAAATTAACTTTGTAAGTTAAACTAAAAATGAACTTTTAACGAATTTAACTAGTTGCTATCCAACCTTGATTGATGCATTGATATATAGTTTACACTCACCAAATTGTCGGAAGTACTGTCTTGAAAGTATTGTTCCGAACTAATGGCCTTGGCGCTTCCGAACTTTTTCTGGGCTTCTCCTTCGATGGTAGAGATGGTAGACGATGGTTTCGTGTCACTCTTCACGTTGGCGATACGGCTGCTTGTGGGAGCTAACCGTTTAGGCGGTTCTGGTTCTGCCACGACCACAATTTCGTCGTTACGAGAAGATGGTTTACTGTTAGCGTAAACCGAGTAAAACTCATCCAAGGTAAAGAAAAGATCAGTTTCTCCAGACAGTGCTTCCGTTGACGTGCTGATATTGGTGGACTTAGACTCTTGCTTTATTGTCTTCATGTCGCCAAATGCAGAGTGACTCGCGCCACTAACAAGAAAGAGAACTTTTGTATAAAATCACGTGTTAAATAAATTTTACACGATAAGAGAGCGCAAAGTGAGTTACCTTCGTGCATTAAATCCCATTCCAAGCCGTTCTGCTTGCGTGGCTTTCGATGGATCTAACTGCTTAGCTCTCTCCTCTATTTTTTTTGCTTGTTGACTCAAATTTTGCTCATACTTTTGGGCTAAACGCGTGGCAAGCTCTTCCTGCTCTTCTTTTGTCACTTCCTTGTCCTTCTCTTGCGCTTGTTTACGTGCCTCCGCGACGCTCTTTTCTAATTCGTCAAAATTCGTCTTGACTCTTTGAGCTCCTAAACTCCCAGCTTTCTTTCCTAACTAAAAGTAAATTATAAAAATAATGATAATTGCGATTTGTCACATATATTATTGTTTTATCATAAATAAATGTAGACTTACACCACCAGGACGTTTAGATTGTGCTGTTCTGCAACCTATAGTAGATTTCCTTGCAGTTTGTACATTTGAAACAGGATCGAAAAGCTTAACGGAAGGACCCAAGGAATTAGAAATGTCTTCTGATGCACTTTTTTCTGTACTATCAACGTTTGGCACAGTATTAGGTGCTAGGAATGCCTTTTCTTCCATTGAAATTAATGTATTGTTTTCATGTAAGTCAAAATTTTCATGCTGCTTGAAAAAATCTGGCTCGTTTGTCTCTTCTGATACTATTTCTGTGCTTTCATCTAAATGCAGCTGTAAAAAAAGACTTATTTAAATATTATTTTTAAATATTCCTGAAATATTTGACCAAACATTATCACTAGTGGACAGTATAACAGTACTGTCACTATTACTTTTATTGTTATTTAATGTCTAATTATATTTGCTTATATTTCTTTATCTGAATAAATTAAATAATAAAATATTTACATCCTAAATTATATTTGTTCAGATCAAGCAATTTATTCAGGTATTTTTACTAATTTACAATTAGTTTATAACTTGAGAAGCATGTATTTTTTTATATATTTATAATATTATGAGGTTTTTCTTTTTCATGATTAAAAATCTGAAATTTCCAGGTAAGGCATGGCCAAATATTTATATGTATCCTGTATATATTATTAAATACAAGCAAGAAAAAAAATATATTATTGTATTGAAACACATTGCATTAAAAATGTATATGTATATAGGTCTTCATGGTAAATCTGTTATAATGGTAATAAAAACACAATATAACAACACTTTTGTAAACATCAAAATTACGCACATTTGAACAATTTTGTGAATTCTTACATATACTGATAATTGTGCACTGACATTGAATGTATGAGAAAAAATTACATATGTATGTCTATGAGAAGTAGAAGCAATTTTTAGAACAATGCCATAAGCGGATGTTAGTAAAATTCTGAGACAGAAAAAAAATTAATTTCAAAAACATTTAGCTCACCATTGTCTTATTTTTCGATGTAGTAAGAGAAACCTATAATATTATCATGTTCATAGTTATGCTAAATTTCTAATAATGTCTCCACTATTTGAATACAACTACTATTATATATCCATCCGATAATTTCATACCTTTGTGCCATAACGACGCATTGCTTGAGCGGATGCTTGACCTAATTTTTCCCTGTACAGCATAGCCGCGCGCGAATTATATTTCTGCTGAGCATCAGTCGTGGTACAGTTGTGTTGTGCAAAGAATTTTTTCTAAAAATTTGGTGAGGTGAGACATGTGACGGTTGAATTATAAATTGTAATTTAATAAAAAAAAAAAAGAAAAAAAGGAGTAAAATTTTAAACTATGGAAACTAACAGCGTTAGCATTACCACCCAGCTGCATGTTCCTCAAGTGCAACCATGTCCAATTTGTGTCAAGTTGCGTAGATTTGACAAAGGTAAGATGCACTCCCAGGCCACGATGCACCGCTGAACAGTCGATGCACAAAAAGACTCCGTACGTTACGCTGGCCCATGCTGGATTTTTCGCGTTGCAATCAAAACATGTCTGAAAAAGTGAAAGCAATTATTGACATAAATTCTAAAATTGCTAAAACATGGAACAATCGTTGATAAATTGACGTTTGTACATCGCAAGTGTCTCCACAAAATATTATATAAATAAATATATATAAGTAATCCATAAAAACTTATAATACAGCTGTACAGATGTCATTTCAAGAATCCTCGAATGTGTTACGATAGGGAGAAATCGAGAGAAATTACAATCTTATCGCTCAGTCCCACGTATTGTTTTTTCCTGCATTTTATTACTACTGACTTAAACCGACAAACCTTGTTGGTTGGGACGGCCCGTAGCCTTTTGAAAATTTCCTCGATATCTGCTTTACTAGGCGGAGAATCTGCCATTTTTGACGTGTTGTCAACGTGCGTCACGATAAAATTCTGGAACGCGTGGCGAAAGCTGGTTGCTCGGCGCTAAAGTCACTGGTGCGATGATACGAGTCCTCGCAGGAAAAAGGAGGGAATACAGGAAGTGTACATGAATGCAACAGAAAGCGTACGATAAAGATGCCAATATAGATCACTATGATAGCAGTACATGAATATGCAATTACTTGCGGAGACACGAACCTGTGACGCTACACGTTAGCATTAGATTCTGTACTATCGACTTTAACTGCATGGACTCTACTTTATCAACATGGATGTCCACAGGGGGGACATTAACCCTCCTTGGAATCAGTAAAAAATTAATTTGCTCTGCTTTTGAATTAACACTAGAATTTATTTGCATATTTAATATAAAAAAATTAAAATAAAATAAAAAAAAACTGAAATTTATTTGCATACTTATGATAAAAAAATTGAAATAACAAAATAAAAAAAATTAATGAAAATAAAAAAAATTTAATTATACCTCTCCCTGGAAAAACCCTGCAGTGGTCCATGTTTACTAATTACTGATTTACTTGAAAATATTTTCTAGAATAAATCTAGCTAATAAAAGATTCTCTCTTTCGTCAAGCTGTAACGCAAAGAAAACTACAAAATCCACAAAACCGCAATATCCTTTTATTTTGGTTTTGAAATGCCAAGATATATACACATGTCACGAATGAATGAAACGATGCTATAATTCTTCATTTATATCTTATAATACTTCAACATCTTTTTTATCTATAGATCCATCTATGGATCGTTGCCCCGTATTTGGCGAATCGCTCACGTTTACTTCCTCTTCCTCTACTTCCATACTATTCAATCTGAAAGTATTAAAATTATCCCTGTATTCTGTGAAAAAATGTTTCATTAAAAAAAAAAAAAAAAAACTTACTCATCCTGTTCGAGGCTGTAGAGCATTTGGAAGCCAGCGTTCAGGCTTGGTGGAAATCCCTTTTCAGGATCGAGCAATTGTAACGTCGGGACTTCTCGGTATACATTACCAAACTCGTCTAGTTCCTCGAATTGTAGTTTGCTAGCTGCTTCATCTAGGACCATCCTAAAGAACATCGACAAATGTTATTTTAATGTAAGCAATATTTGCCCCATTTAGGAAATTGCCTACAGCTCAATATGCAATACTTAGTATTACTACAAGCTTTAAGTTCAAATTGCCTCTGTTTTTCCATCGTTTCCTCGACCTGCTTCCTCATATTCTCTTCAAACTTCAAGACATACTCCTGGTAATAGTCGTGCAATGCTGTTACTCCCCCCACACCTGTCTCAAGCAGCACTCTCTCTACAGCATCCTAGCAAAAACAAAAGTTTGTCATGTAAAAATTAGATAAATATTTTAATAATTAGATATTCTTCTCATCTTACAGGAAAGCCATGATCCCTCTGTTCAGTCGCTGCTTTCAATAAGAGGGTCATTCTTCTTAAAAAATGATCTGCGATATCAATTAATGTTTCTATAGCAATATCCGATGAATTTTCGAATCCAATGTGAGCCAACAAAACAGTTACAGCATATCTCAACAAATTCCTCGCAGTTTGTGGTATTAAATGATGTACAGTAGAATAATCTTCAGCTGTACTTCTAAAATGATGCGATTAAGAATTACATAATGATACAATACACAATTCAAACTGAGAATATAACAAATACCCTTTTGGTTGATAAGGTAGAAAATGAAATAAATTTTTCGAATGTATTTTCTCTTTTGAATCCTGTGCCTCTATGACAGTCATATTTCCAAGCATATTTCCTTCTTCCTGTAAAAAAAAAATTATCATTGTTACTCTTGAACAAGCAATATATTAACTTGTGATTAATATTTAAATCACAAGATGTATTTGAATTCTGTACCATTGTTCGTAATTGTTGATGAAAATTTATGGTATTCAATACATGTAAATTTCCCATTGGTAATCTGTAACAAAATAATATTAACAGTTTTCATATATTAGTTTAACATATAAGTGTTGTAACATAAACATTATACACTCACTGTAAATATTCAGATTGCCTGTCAGTCCGGTAATCACAATCTGTGTTGTTTGTTTTATCCATAGCTTGTCGCCAGACATTTTCTATGAGATCTGGTATGATTATTTCCTGCTTGAGCATCTCTCGTGATGGTAACTCTCCCCATAACCCACTTAAGCTCTTGCTAGACTTCATCTGGTGCTTGAAAAAAGTATTATTCATTTAGTATACATTCATATGAATAATATTGGCAAGTTGATACAAAAATTATTTCAATCTTATTATTAATAATCTAACAATAAATTTAAATTGTAAGAACCTTATATATATATATATATAAATTTAATTTAATTTAAAAATTAATCTAGTAAAAAAAACACTATTTAAATAAATAGTTAATTAATAATTAATTTATGACAGATGCGCGCCGACTGAATCACATGTGAGGAGTTTGATTCACAAAATAGCGAAAAAACCTAGATTCGGAAAATACATTTTTGCGTCAAGAGTATTTTATTCGAGGTGACATTCGTTGGAAATTCCCGCCCGTCGATATCTGCACTCGATCACGTGCTGTCGCGTCAGCGAAACGTAGCCACATTCGTGTCGATCGAAAACGGCGATACATACGCGAGTGCATCGAGGAATTTTTGAGCCCACGATTCCCCAGTCTTACCGGATGCTCGAGCGTGACGTATGAGGTTCTTCCCCGAGTAGCGTAGTCCTTGCGCGTCTAGCGGAACGGCTTCACGTTTTTTCGATGAGCATATTGTGTTCGCGCGACGAGACTCTTCCCCGACACTTTCGGTAGCTAGGTTAAAATCGTTTATATACGTCACGGTGCGGCGCCATGTTCGAACAGTACGATTCGAGCGGGCGATCCGATATATTTAAAATTTGAACGGGATCGAGAGAGGTGAAGAAAAGTGCGCGAGAACGAGGCAAGCGAGCTTAATCGACAAATTTGTGAATCGACGTTCAAACGTCAAATGTCTAATGTCAAACGTCAAACGTCAAAAGTGTAACGCGACATTCGAGAATCATATTACAATGTGCGTGTTGCTTTGTGTTCGTATATAACGTATATTCAGTACTGTTATCGTGCTCAGAAAGAAAAGTAATCGGTAGAGATTATAGGGAAACAACAAAGAGATTATCTCCTGTGCAACGTTATCGTCGAACGTGAGCTTTTTTTAAGAGAGATTTCTTGATTTTACGATGGAATCCGCAGCGGTTTCGGTCCTGAAACGAGCAGTGGAGATGGATAAGCAGGAAAAATTTACAATGGCGTTGGTTTTGTATCAGGAAGGCGTGCAGATACTCCTCGACGCTGTAAAAGGTACGATGTATACGATATTTGTATGCTTCTCTTTCTTTCCTTCTCTCGCGCGCGCAAAACCTCTTACGTTAAAAATGTTACATTATTATTACTATCCTTGATCAAGACGCTCAAGAATCGATAATAAAACGATGCAGAGACAAAGGAAACTTACAAGGTGGAGTACCTCACGACCAAGGCGAAGGAGTATCTGGACAGAGCCGAGAAGGTGAAGAAGCTCATCACCACGAGGAAATCGGCCGGCATATACAGGGAATTGAGTAAGATCGAGAATGGATCCATAGGACATGGTTACGCGAGTATCTTCGGCAGATTCCTGGACGGCACCGTCACGTACATCAACATCGAGGATCCGTATATACGAGCCTTTCACCAGGTGTGTATATGCTCCATCTATCTTATTCCAGTATCATTTATTATCAGAAAATTTGCAAGTTTCAAAAGTTTTTGCTAAATTGAATAAACTATGTTTGCAAATCCTTTCTAGAATAAATAGTAATTTGTATATTAACCTATAGTCATTTATACTTTAATCATAAGTTTTTTAAAGAAAATTTAATAAAAGAAAACATGTATAAAGTTTCAGAAATGCATATTCAATAAGATAAATATCATTATTTTATTATTTTGCAGGTTTTTTACATAATAGTTTGTTTTTTAAATCAATTGTTGACTAAATATATTTTATTCAATTTAGCAAGCCTGCAAAATTTTATACCATCTTTTTCTAACATCCTATAGATTAATTTATGAGAAATTATTGGACTAATTGCAGTATTTCGTCTATAGTGTCAGAATCTGGTTAGACTATGCGAGCTGGCTGTTCAAAAATGCTGCGCATTATCCAGGATATCTCTGCTTACAACTTATGATCCTAACCACATGGAGGAAGCTAACCAAATTACTAGATTGGCTGAATTGAAAGAAAGTTTAGCACTTCGCAAGATCTCCTTTGATTTTTCCTTTTCTGAAACGTTGCACGACAGGCAAATTACGTAAGGCTAACAATATAGTTAATTGCAACGTGCATTAAAAATTTTGTTCTTACATTTTTTCATTCATATAATCCTTTACTTTGTTTCACAGATTGAGTAACGGATGGGTGATAAAAATCGGACGTGGATTAGACTATTTTAAAGCACCAGAGGGCAAATTTGTACTTGGATCATGTGATCTAGAATTAAGGCCATGCTTGGAGACTACCATAGACATTTTTCATAAGAATCAGCTTCAAAATGAGACAAGATAGAGTTTAACATCAATTGATAATAAGAATATGGTTAATACTTTTTTATATAATTTTCATGAATGTATTTTATATATGTATTTTATATATGTATATACATTTATTATGGCACATTTAGTATGTGATGATGATAATACAGCTCCATTTTTACAATATATATTCTTATCCCTGCGATATTTAATATACGAGGAGTGAAATATATTTGTATACATTTAAAATATTTGTACAAATATTCTTTTAAAATATACAGCTTACTTATTGTTAGATCGCTATTATAAAATATGTTAGACATATATGTACAGACTTATTTTTCATACTATGCTATATCTCACAGTTATTTGAAATTGTACAACTCTCTCTGCAATAATAGATTTTCCTTTTTTTCCAGAGTCCTCTCCTCAGTCCAGTGTGCTGTGATCCTTTGCCTTCGCGATTCCGATTTGCTTCGCGGCCTTTTTACACGCCCGTCTCAGCGACCTGGTGTACTTTAAGAAACCTGCTTCCACCTGCATCTCCTCCTCCTCTGTCTGAATATTATTGACTCTACATGGTCCTGTCAGACAATCTCCGCCACCGATCGCTACCACTTGTCTCGCAATCTCCGGTTCCACGCAGAGTCTGGTCAGCGCGGCCGCCGCGGTAAGCTCCAATCTTCGGTATGCGTCCTCCAGACCTGGTGGCCTCATACGGAGGAAGGAAACCAGAGCCACGGAGGCTCGCGCCCCGGCCAGATACGACCGACCTTCGGGAACGCGCGCCAACTCGCCAATCAGAGCGGCAACCTGTTCCATCAACCAGACGTTATCACCGACGGATTTCTTCACGCTTCGCAAGAGTTTCCTCACACTGTCCTGTTCCAGTATGATCCCAACACATAGCCTCGACTTGGATAAATGATTTAGCGCTGCGGCGGCCAATAATAATGTTTGAGCGCAATCACTGCTCTCGATTAGCCGGTTCAGCGATGGAATTAAGGAATTCGCGAAGGGTTCGAGACACGGCAGACCCCACGCGTCGGTCCACGGTGCTGTGATCTGCACCACTAAGGCGGTAGCTTCAATCTTCTCCTTTTCGGAAATAGATTCTACTTCTAGAAGATCCGTCAGAATCTCGGGACCGCCATCTCGTGCAAAGTACTCGATCGCCGTCGTGGAAGAGCATACGCTGGCCAGAGCGCGTAAGGTAAGAGCGACGAAATCGTTTGAAGACGCTCGACCAGTGCTGATAAGACACGTTAAGAGAGCCTTTATACCGGAACATCGGGCTATGCTGCTTCCTGCGCGAGAATCCGATAATCCTAAAGCCGTGAGGGCTGCCAGAGCTCCTCTAGCTACGCTATCGTCCTGTCGCGGAGCCTCCTCGAGACCGCGGACAATTTTCTATAAAAAATTTTTATTCATTAGACAATTAATTTATAATTAATTTACGGTTACTAGATGAGTCGCAAATATATAATTTGACCAACCTCGATGTAAAAGTCTAAACGCGTGTCGATCGTGTCATCGACGTAGTTCTTCATACTTTGCAACTGCGCGATTATGCTTCTCAGACTACCCTGTTGAATCCTGCGAGGAGGAGGTGCTCCTAATTGGGAGAGGATCATGAAAGCGGCTTCTTCAATGCTTCGAAGCAGCTCCATTTCGGACCTGCCACCTTCCAGCCGTGTTATCTTCCTACACGATAACGAAATGCATATATAATTGACATGTGATCCGTATCATCTGATGTAATACGAAGAAACAAAGGACCAGGACTCACTCGACGATGCTCCGGTAATGTTGCTCGAAACGGTCCGCGCTGACTAGGAGTTTGCTCGCGGCGGCGGTAGCCGCAGAAGACATCATCTTCAGGTCTCGCGCGTGGACCCCACCGGAAAATCCGGCCATCCGGATTCGCGGTAGTGTCTTGCTCTGCAAGGTACTACTGCACTCATCCACGGTTTCTATTCGAAGATCGGTCAGCCACGCTCTCAAGGACGACGATTGACGATAATTACTGGAATTCAGCACCTCCCTGCCGGCAGTGATCGCATCCGTCGTGGGATCTGTACTAAGGGTTCGCGATCTCGCTGATGAAGATGACAGCTGAACGCTGTCCTCCGGCGGTTCGGACGCGTACAGAAAATCGCCCAGACATTCGCTATTCTCCAGCGAAACGGACACCTTCGACTCATCGCTCCGCTCCTCGTTGATTCTGGAAAAGGAAAAGAAAATAATGAGTTCTCGGTAAGTTTTTGTATTATAAAGGAATGTATAAAGATCTTCTCATTCAAAAGACATCTCCAGGTAGCAGGCATACACCATTTTGACGTCGAATGACGTCATTAAATATCAAAATGACGTCTTTTGACGTCATTAAACGTTATTTTGATATTTAATGACGTCAGTTTGTTACTTATTGGGTCTATTTCGTGATTCCCGAGTCACGCTACCTTAAACGAGCCATGGCGGTTCGACTTTAGCATCATGAGACGACTGTTATCATTCTGCCACTCCGGCGAAACTCTCGCGACACAATACACTTAGAATCTGAATCGCCGATTTTTTTTCCGGAAATGCGGTGGCCGGGGGCGATTTAATGGAACGCGAGAGCTGACTAATCGCGTTGAACGCTCTCTCTCTTTCCTCGAGAGCGCGACTGCAGGCGATGACTAATCTCGTTGTATTGTAATGCGTCCACCTGTGCAGCGGCGTTATAAAACTGAATTCTTCGTAGATTCGCTGTCGCGCACCCGGCCAAGGAGCCCCCGGCTTCGACTTCGACCTCGTCAGCCTCTCTCGCGCGCTTATTCATTTACGTATTCCTCTCTTGCGCGACTCGTGCGTTGTTGCGTTGAGTCACGTACAGCACGAATGGAACACGTTGACTAACGGAAAAAAATCAGTGTCTGCACGAGGTAGTTGTAGGATATATCCGAGGTGGTAGGATTTGGAAGAACAGAAAGTCGAAATAATGTCAATTTGATGTCATCAAATTTCGATTCCAAATATGACGTCAAATTCACATCATTTTGAATTTTCTATTCTACTTGGGTCAGGATCTAAATTTTACCACCTTGTTTTTTTTCCATTTGGACTCCAAATTTGATCAATATAACGTCAAATTGATATTATTTTGACTTTTCTGTTCTACTTTCTGTTCTGTTCTACTAGATCGAACCCTCTGGTGCCCCTTTTCGCGCTTTATATATATATATATAATTTGCGATTGAAACTTGATTTCTAAATCATCTACGAGAAATACAGGATGCGTAAAATTATATAAGGAAACTTCGTCTCGAATTATGAAAGATAGGCAGGTAGAAAATATAATGCATATATATACGGGGCACTCATAGAGAGTTGAATACTTTTTTGTACTATTTTTTTCTCCGTTCACATCTCGTTATACTCGAGATATAAACAAGTCCAATCGTGTATGTACGTGTATATATATATGTATATATATATACATATATGTTTCCGGTACAATTTACATGATTACGTTATTAGCATAGGTAGTATAATACGATCGCCTTGCCGGACTCTTTAATCAAATCGCGACACGGCGGATACGCGATCTGATAAATAATCGGACTCTGTCCGAAGGCAATAAGAGAAGGAAGCCGAGTATATTTCATATATTTATCAACATCGAGATTTCAAAATAACTCATACCTTTCGTTACACATAGGTGAAAGATCCTTGTTCTACGCACGAGAGAGAGAGAGAGGACGCGATGCGCATACAATGGTTCGACGATAAGGCCAGAGGCGCGACTTGACGATTCAAGGACTGATAATCATCCTCAATGATACACCTCTCCGAGTCTCTCTGACGCATCTCTTGGATATTACGATCGGCGAGACGAAGAGGGAAACGATTCTCAAGTGTGTGTCATCGCGTACGCCTATATACGACGTGTTATACATGCATCATTTTTTTCTTATTAGAAAGGGACAAAAGATAGCGACGATAAACTCGCATTCCTATCGAATTGGCTCATTTCTCCAATCTTATCATCACAAGTTTGTCAAAGAAACTTGTCTTATTCGATACTTCATTGCGTGACACAGTTTTCAAGGTAAACATATTACCGCAAGTAATATCGACAGTTTTTTCTCGCGGAATTCCAAGCACGCGCCGAATCAGGATCGATTGTTCTTGTAATCATTCGATGATTCAGCAATGTGTATTTGAATGACGAAACGATGATCGCTCGTCCAATAGCTGGGAAATCGTGCGATTGATGATTTTTTCCATTCAATTTTCATTAAAGGAGAGCCTATCAATATCTTTTTCTCCTTTATTCACACAATTAATTCTTCTGCATATTTCTTTTTTATCTTTCCATCAATGTATGGATGCCAACTGCGTGTTTTCAACATATTACACTGCGATAATTCTTTCTATAGCAGTTGGTGGACATTGAATATTTTTTATATATTTTAGGTTGTATTTATATTTATATTTACAATTATATTTTAGGAGGTTTCCGAATAAATTCTTCAAAAGATCCTTAAAAAGATTCTTTGTATTTTATTTCGGGCGGAGAAAAGTTCTGCAACGCATTTTTAATATTTAAAGTTGCTTTGGAAACCCGTTCATTGACAGAAGGATTAAATTTAATTGGCTTATATTTTATATTTGCTCACCTCTCTCTCCTCGCGGATTGCTCGAAACGATCCTTCGCAAATGTCCTGGAATGCTTCGGCGTGGACGTGTGCTTCGGCATCGAGGGAGATCCCTCCTCCAACCATGCAATTCCCGTCGATTGCATTCTATGTTGCCTCGTTCTTCGTCTTCTTCTTCTTAGTTTTCGTCGCGGAGTCACGTTTTCATATGCCTCCGAGCAGTCTGATCTTTCGGAATCGGAGAACCCAGAGTCTTGGCTTCTGAGATCTTGGCTTGAAGGACTATAGGATCGATTTCCGCTGACGATTTTGCGTTCCTCTTGCACGTCCATTTCCGTCGTTCTAAAATATTAAAATATATATTTTAAAATATCATTTATTTTTCATTTAATAAATACCATTTTTTTTCTATATATTATATCAATGTATTTTTTTTATTTATATGTTTAGATTTATTTTATTATTTTAATATTTATTATTTATACACATACATTATTTATCTTTATCTTATTTAAAAAAATAATATTTAATATTTTTAAAATTACTAAATATATATTTTTATTGTTAAAGAGAGATACGTAAAAATAATTTTGTTAAAGAGAGATACATTAAATACAATCTTTTTGTAGTGATAAATATTTAATGGCAGACTTATTATATTTTACGTACCTACGATGTACCATACTTTCATCGCATGTCAACGAAATTTGACACGCGTCCTGTTTTGGACTCTCGTCGCTCTGATTACAGACATGTATCGCGGTGATATTCGCACCATCGATCGTGTCGTTCTCCGATCTGCTAGCAGAATCTTCTTCCTTTTCTTCTTCATTTCCCTTTCGCGAAGGCTCGTTTCTCTCTGTAAAACAAACCTCGTTCTCCAGGTCGCGCGAAGCCATTTGCTCCCAGAACACCTTACTCTGGTATCTCTTGAACGCACTCATGTTTTTACCACTTTGTCTTCATTCGACGAATCACAAAAACACCCGCACCAAAATCAACCGAAACGAGAAGAAGCACAGTTTTTTTTTGTAGAAAAAATGTTTTTTCAATATCTCTTCTCTTGTATAAATTTCTTCACTTTATTTTATTATATTTGCAGGACGTGTAGAACGAGGAAGCTCCCCGACAAATATCCCAGGACGACCTCGAGGTGATGCGCCACCAGGGTGCAACGCTATTTTACTTCCAACGGGGTGTTTTCACGACTCAGCGGAGCGAAACGACCCTCCCACGGCTTCGTGGTCGCGTGGCTGCTTGGAGAACCGTATGGTGTCCGTCGCAACCCCCATAGGTCTGCTGCTTAATGGTGAGTCTCGCATGCGACACGTATATACTCTTCTTCCTCTTCAATGATCCCGATCTCCACAGACCGCGTACAAACTTCGTAAAAGTTCTGTTAAAAAAACAACAGACCACAATATAGAGATCTTTTTTCAAACAAATATAATTAATATATTAATATATTATCGTTTTTTTATTAAATATTATATATTATATATTATCTCTAACAGCACACATAACCGGAAGACGTTCAGAGGATATTCTCTAAATATCCCCTAGATATGTTGTACTATTAGGAATATATATATATATATATATATATATATATATAGTTAATATATTAATATATTCTATATAAATAAATATATTAATATATTAATTATACATATCCCTAACAGTACAACATATCCAGAGGATGTTCCAGAAGATATCCTCTGAACGTTTTTCAGATATGTGTGTTGTTAGGGATAATATATATAATATTATATTTAATTATATAATATTTAATATATAAATATATAATATTTAATATATATATATTAATTACATTAAATATTATATAATTAGTTTCTATTTTAATTTTAATAAAAAATCACGAACTTTTGAAGATCACTTTCTGCTGGCGCGCACCGAGAGTACTCGGCGGGATTTTTTATTTTTTTCACAAATACAAACGCGCACGTACGATTAATTTATCAGCGGCACGATGATTGACCTAAACGCGTTAATGCCCCACAATTGACTGACTCCCGGGCTCGACTTCCGACTTCCTTGTCGCGCGCGCGACTCGATCTCCTCCTCATGTGTGTCTCTCCCCGCCCCAAAAGCCAAGTCGTGTGAAAACGCAGCGGCATTCCTCCTCTTCCCCTTTTGTCGGCTTCATGGGGGCAGCTTGCGCAGCCTTCCCCCTTCACGAGCGCACACACGCGTGCATATAATATCGTCCGTGCGTAACCGTCAAATCGTAACGAGGTGCTCTTTCACAGGAGATGCGACGTGAGGCCATGTGAGACCTTTATTTGACCTTCGATCAGGCTGATCCAGCCTCTCTAACATGCAAAATAATCGATCTATGTGTGAAGGTAATTTTTTGCCACCCTCTTTTGTAAACGATGCACCGGTATTGGAATAATTGAAATATTTATAATAATTTATATAATTATAATTATCGCAGATAATTAAATTAGCGTCTTTTATTTCTTGGTATAATAATTGCATTAATAGCTCCGTTTTATGCAACTTAAGAACTTCGATAATTAAATAATAAAAAAATTCGATAATTAGAAATCGGAAAAGAAAATTGATGATCCTTTCGAGCCGAATATCGTCCTGAAAAAATAAATTAATAATAATAAATATATATGTACAAGCAAGCGCGGAATTGAAATGCAGAAACATTTCTTGATCATACAATTTAATTATCAGCTCTTCTAAAATAAATATATTAATAAATAAGAGTAGAATAATATTTTTTATGCAAATGTAAAAGAATTGAAAGACTAAATCTTTCAAAGGAAAAGAAGCGTGTGACATTTTCAAGTACAAAATAAGTTGAAAGATAAATGGGGAAATCGCTTAAAATTCACGTTCGATAATAACCCATTTTGCCGTCGAACTTCCATAGTGTCGATTCGCGAACGAAGAGAGTAACAATACACCTTCAACAATCAACAGGCCTCTGTTGCACAGTAGGAGGCGCAGGAAGACGCCTTTTATTTTACTTGTCAAAGACGATAAGTCTTGTCCTGGAAGACGATCCGAGCAGCATTGGCGTAACCAGGCTCGCGAAAGAAATTCCAAGGAAGACCGAAAAGCTGGTAGGAAGATGTTCACGAAATCACGCCAATGGTGTTTTTAAGGGCCAGGTGCGTGACTATCGTTACCCCCGATATGTGCGCGATCGAACGGGGGTCCGGCCCCCTCGGAAACGACTCTCTATGCATTTACCCTCTATTCTCCCTTCCCAGATACGCGATGTGGAGGCACGCGCCGTTCGGGACATCTGCGTCTCTAAAACGCCCGCCGCAATGCGTCACGCACGTGAGTTGATGAATCACACGCATTCGTGTCCGTGTTGAACTTTAAAGGAATTTCGAGAAATTTTTGGGCACGAAAATCAGACAGGGAGAGAGTGTAATTTTGAATTTATTGTTTAATTAAGAGAGGCACAATACTGAAATTTGGATCAATCGATGAATCATCATTCAGTCGAGGACATCGATGCTGAGATTTAAATGGTTCAGAAAAGAGGGAGGGCATTTAAACTTTCTATTATAAAATCTTTTGCTTTGCCCAGATAGCAAAAGTTATTTTGATGGCAAAATGATGCATTTCGACATCAAAATGATGTCATAATAATTACTGTGGCTCTCTGGGTTGATTCGACTTCAACTTTTATTGAAGATCAAAAAATGGTGGTATTTTGCGCTACTAGAAAGACGTATAGTATATAGACATAAGAAATCGCGAATTGTTGTTTGTACATATTTATAAGCACTCGGTGAACGACACGTCAAGGAAAAACCTCGTTAACGAGCTTCGCTAATTGACGAAGATCGAGGCTATCGATAAGTATAGGAAATACCAAAGTCGCTAATTGGAGAGGCAGTGATGGCATAATCTCGACGTTATTTCAGTGGTCAGAGATTGCCAGGCCACGGTCGGTATTCCTCTTCTTCATTGTCTACGTGAAATACGCGTACATACGCACATTCGACGAGGCCGCGCGTCTTGTAGAAGCGCAAAGGGGTCCTTGTACGACCCCTATTGTACACGGATAAGGGACAGATGCGTACGAACCGTTACATGAAAGCGCGTGCGCTGTCTACATCTGTGGACGTTTGAATTTCGATGACATTTCGAATTTAGGGGGAACATTGCACCGATGATTGATTCCTGCAGGAATATGTTTATCTCGAAATGTTCAGGATTCCAGATTATTCGAAAATTAAATCGCGAAACGTGTGAAAATGTTCAAGTAATCGAAATAAAATGTGTGATTATATATTTTAATCAAGATTGGATAATAACTAGTTGAAAGTTAAAAAAAGTTAAAAAGTTAATAACTTTTAACTTAGTTTAGTTAACTTTAAATGTTTTAACTTCAACTGTAGTTATTTTTGATCTTATAAACTTATTAATTTTTTTCCCAAATTAAATTCTTTTTATCTCCGAATACTATTATTGTTTTTTATAAGTTATAAAGTATTGTTTTTAAATTAAAGTATTATTAATTTTTATGTTCATTTATCATTAATTGTAATTACTAAAAAATGTATTTCTATACAAAAATAAAAATTTCTTTGTTATTTGTTATTATACATTTTAAAAGAATTAACAAACAAAATTCTAATTTAAAGATAAATATTTTTAAAAATTAACTTTTGATTTAACTTCAATTAATTTAATCTTAATTTTAACTGCGAGTTAATTTTTTGTTCATGCAACTATTAACTTAACTAAATTAATTTTATAAGCAACTTTAACTTAATTTAATTTAGTTTTAAAAAATCATTAACTTACCCAATCCTGATTTTAATATTTGAAATATTATAATATATTATTGATGAGAAATCTAAATGGTATATTATTGATAAAAGAAATCAACAAAAGATAACAAGTATATTTATTAATATATGTATAAATTTTTTATAATTAATTCAAATTTGCGCAGCTATTTGTTAATTCATAAATCGAGAAGAAAGTCATTATTTTAAATCTTTCTAAATATTAATTATATTTATATTATTTATATTATTTATATTATTCTGAATCTTATATTGATCTTATATTATATTGATCTGAATTAATGAACTCGAAAGAAGCGTTTTCGTGTATGTAATATTTCCAAAGTGTTTTTATTTTTCCATATTTAAGGTAAGTAAGTAGAAAAAAGAATGTACTCCTAAAAATTACCTATCTATTTTTGAAATATTCTATGTAAAATTTTTATTTACATAATAATTGAATTATTTTCTTAATATATATTTTCTTAATTCTGATAATCAGTATCTAACTTACAAGATAAATGTCAAGAAATTATAAGCGCCTGTAGATATGCAATCCTTTTTACAACCGATATGCATTTGACTTGCATATAATTACGATGCATTTTATCTGTCAGTGGTATATTTATAATTTTGATAATTTGAAATGATAATTTAATTTTGAAATGGTAATTTGATTAATTGTATTAGTTGTAATTTAAAAAATTCGTATTGTAATAGTTTGATATTTTACACATTTGTCCCTATAGAAAACAAGCTTTTCTATATTATTAAACCTCATACATAGGACATCAAATGCAATATGAATCTTATAATTGGAACATATATGCTTTAAAATATGAATCCTGCATAAGAACATGCGCGTTGCACAGGTTGACTAACTTTATCATTACTTCATTTAAAGAAGGTGGTCTTCATTAATCATATTGCAATTGATAACAACGACTCCTAGTGACCGATGTGTGGAGTTTCTCCACTAGACCAATCAGAAATATTCTGTGTTAAATTGACCAATTAGCGACGTGGACTATCGGACGTGATTTCGTTTGAAGATACGGTCAGCACAATCTTATCGTTTTTAAAAGGGGAAATCCCTCCTCTTTTTTCGATTAAAATTTGTTAGGGAATTCCCCCCACAATGCATATCTTTGTATTGAAGAGGGTATAAATATTGCGGCGATCACAAGTTGCGTCTTAAACTCGCTGCTCTGTTGCACATAGAACGTGGTTTTGACCGTCGATTATTTGCTTCATAACAAGTTTTCTTCCAACTGCGAAATCAAAGGTAAGTCATGCACATTTGCTTCATTGATTTTTAGTGTCTACATAAATTATTTCTAAATTTCTATTTAAAAATTAATGATTCTATACTTACGAGTTTAAAATATAAAAAAAGTAAGTAGAAATAGAGCAATATATTATAATATGTAAAATATGTGAAGATAATATGCAGAGATGATAATAATATTTTATTAAATTTTTAATATTTAACATTGTAATATTTTATTAAATGTTTGCTACAAAGAATTATTTAATACTTAAATAAAAGTCTGCAAAGAATATATAATCAAAATAATAATACGTGATTTTGAAAATTGATAAGTGAAATATTATAGTGCAATAGCTAGTAGTACACATATAGAATTGTTTCTTAGAATTTACCCTGAAACATGGTAATCATGGGACAATATGTATTCGAAGAATTTTATAAGAAATTTCTTGGATTAATATTTATCACAATAGAAATATTAAGATCTATTACAATAAGAAATAAAATATATTTGATTAAATTTACTACGTATTAATATTTTTTATTGTGGTAAATATATTTTAATCAGAGAAATTCTTATAAAATTCTTCCAATATATTGTCCCATGATCACCATGATTTTCAGGGTAAATTCTAAAAGAAAATGCTCTCCATGTACATATAATGGCTAATTTAATATGAAATTAATATATTGAGAAATACATTATACTTTTTATATTAAAATATATTTATCTTTCTCTCTCTCTTTGTTATAGTTATAATTAATTTAATGATTTATTTTAACAATTGTGTGGTGCGGTATATTAATATCCTAAAAGATGTAAAAAACTGTAGTCACCAGATGATAATTAAAAAATGGTAGTAATTTAATCGACCAACTTGGGCAAATTAAGTGATCTTTATTCAATATTCACATTGAATATTGAATAAAGATCACTTAATTTGCCCGAGTTGGTCGATTAAATTACTACCATTTTTTAATTATCATCTGGTGACTACAGTTTTTTACATCTTTTAGGATATTAATATACCGCACCACACAATTGTTAAAATAAATCATTCAATATTCACATTGAATATTGAATAAAGATCACTTAATTTGCCCGAGTTGGTCGATTAAATTACTACCATTTTTTAATTATCATTTGGAGGCTTCACAGTTTTTTTACATCTTTTAGGATATTAATATAGTGTTGCTCTTTGGCGAGAATTAATCCGTACATCAATAAACTGCACCGAGAAGAGAGAAATATTCATTATATTTCATTTGTATAAAATTATTTATACAACTTTATCTCTGGCTCTTCTCTGTATATACGAGCCTCGTATGAGCCTGACATAAACGATATTCATATCTGTATACGCACGCAATTTTATCGCGTCTATTCAAGAGAACTGCTTCGCAGCAGGATTCCTTTGCACGTTCCATGTCGCTGATTTTTAAGAGAAACATTGCGTATTTTGTCCAAGCTTCGGGATTACTTCTATTTATCGCGATCGCCTGCGAGAAATATCGCGCATAATAACACGTTTGATTACCTCGATATAGAAGATTGAACGTACAGTCTGATGATGTCGCCTCGCATCGTCGGTATGACCCAACTCGTAAGCTTCTTCGGCATAAATGTACAATTTTTCGAATATCACCATTTTTGGCACTTTGTTGTTCACGAGACGACTTTCGACGATCTTGTTGATGGCCAGGTGCATTCGTTCGACGAGATACGTGTATATAGATGTCACAAAGTTCTACATACAAATTGCAATTAGCGAGAAAATTTATCTTCCTCTGCCAGATTTTATGAATGAATCTATGGCTAAAGAGGATATCCTTTTTACAGCCGCAAAACTGTTTTCGTGCTGAAATTTATTCAGCATCAATGTCTTTGTTAAACGGAATGATAGATTCAAAATTAATCTTTTGATAACAGTGTTTTATATATATAATTAGATAAATAATAAATTTTTAGACCTGACTGTCGGTCGAGTGTACTTTATGTACGCCCGTCTTGAATTTCTGATCCAGCATGGAAATGACTTTTTCTTTCAAAGTGCTACGTACACTCAAGTACGTACCAGTTTTATATAGATATTGCGTGAAGCAAGTTAATTCATCCTGTAAAAATTGCGACAAATATGTATAACATAATAATTTTTTATTTTCGTCAACAATTGACCTCACCTCTTCGGGAACGAAGCAATATTTCTTTTTAGCTGTTGTTTCTAAATTATCCGAGTCATTTTCTTGTCTTCTCGAAGCGGACAACTTTTCTTGCTTTTTTTCCTCGCGAAAGTCCTGACGAAAAATATATCTCACATTGATATAAGTGATATTTTAATTTTTCGTAATACAAAATATATCTGAAATGAATTATCTTTCAATATAACGTTACGATATAAAAAACTTAATACCCTATAACTCTCTGTAATGATCTCCACTAATTTTTGAATACAAGTTGCGTATTGTTCCTCCGCCACATCGTCTGAATAAATATAAGGCTGTTTGATTATCTTCGGTTTCATCATTTTCTCGATTCTAGCAAAATCAGTAAAGTAGGAATAAATTTTAAAACATGGTTCGATAACAGTTTATTCACATTGAATATTGAATATTGAATAAAGATCACTTAATTTGCCCGAGTTGGTCGATTAAATTACTACCATTTTTTAATTATCATTTGGAGACTTCACAGTTTTTTTACATCTTTTAGGATATTAATATACCGCACCACACAATATTGTTAAAATAAATTATTAAATTAATTATAACTAACAAAGAGAGAGAGAGAAAGATAAATATATTTTAATATAAAAAGTATAATGTATTTCTCAATATATTAATTTCATATTAAATTATATGTACATGGAGAGCATTTTCTTCATTTGCCAGAGTTGGTCGATTAAATTTCTACCATTTATTAATATCCTACTTAATATTTGCAATTGAAAGATTTGTAGAGAAATATATACGGGATAGACATATTGAGTATGATAAAATAGTGTATATTTCAAGTAATATAATAAAAAAGTCTATATTTAAAATAAAACAATATATAAAATTTTTATACATTTTTTTATGTGATGATTTTTTTTATTAACCATGCTTGATTGCTCGATTCTCTTTTCTTCGATCTTTTTTCTTTGATATTTCTCGACCGGAATCTATAATGTGTGTGAAAAATGTATGTATCTAATTTAATAAAACTCTATTTTTTTGTATTTTCTAGATGGATTCGAAAGATCAAGCTAATCGTACTAACCAACGCAATCCGAATAATCCTCGAACTGGCCCTGGACATACTGCAGGTTACCAAGGCGCGGGAACTAAAGCGGATTTGGATAATCATGCCAAACAAATGAATCCGAATAATCCAAATTATAAAAAGTAAAAACTATTCATGTTTTACAACATACTAATGGCATTGCAAACATATAATAAGCATTGCTGAGATCATATATTATAATAAAAATGGCGTAAAATCGTACATATCTCTTTTCTCTTCTCGTATCCTTTTATTATCTTTACATATTTATTTCTACGTTCCTATCCAATATTTCTGTTCCGAAGTTTGCTCCAAAGATATTAATCGTAATATTTAAGTAATATTAATCATAGTATATAATTAATTATTTATCGTAGAAGCTAACTATTGTATTATAACATAATTATTGAAAATCTTTTTTTTTTATAAACGTCTTTAATATAATTCGTATGGGAAATAAAGTTTCTTGCAAAATTAATTTTTTGATGTGCGCATATATATCATTTATAAAATACGTAGAATAAAAGAAAAAAGAAATATTTTGTCGCTGTTACATGAAAAAATAAGAACAATTAACAATTCAAATTATCTGCCGGGCTGTTGGATCCAGTATCCCCAGGGAGCGAAAACATCACCATTTTTTTCTTGCATAGGGCCACGGAAAACTTTTATTTTGACCCGTTCAACATCATCTGTAAGCGGAGAGCAATTATATATTTTATTGAGAAATTATAATCTTTCCTATCATCTTGCTTATTAATTTTAATGTTATTTTAATATTATATTAAAATATATTATTAAATATATTATTATTAAAATATATTATTAATATCGAAAGAAATTGCATCTTTTTCTTTTTATTATTTTGCACTATTTTATCAACGCAAGCGCTTTCGTGTTTTATAATATTATTGCCGCACAGTCTGCGATATTACCTTTTTTTCCAATTTTGTGACGTATAACGCTTCTTGATTCATCGCAATTTATCATCGCAGTAAACATCACTATTTGAAGCAGACTGAGTATAAATAGCGTACACTACACACAAAAAGTATTAATCATTTGATATGTGACTCAATATTCTATTTCGCATTATGAATATTATTGCGAAATTGCAGCTAAAGATAGAAGATTTAAAAATGCAGATGTCTTTCATAATTAATGATACAGAAAAGATAATGATGCTACATGAAACAAAAATAAGTTGAAAATATAGAATAAAATTTTTTTTAAACGAGGCTTTATTTTTCAGAAAAATCGACTTTAAATTTTGAAAATTGGAAAATTCTTTTTAATTTAAATGATCTCTAACGATTATATACATTTTTTTATTTCGTGACTATTTTAAAAATTTGTATAAAAAATTGTGTATTTACTCTATTAAAAAAATTAATTTCTTTAGATACTTTTATGTACATTTTTTAATAATTTTAATTATTATTTTAGTAAATGGGGGTGAGGAAATGTTGGTTTTTATGTCTATATATTAACAATCACTATCGCGAAATGAGTGATGAATTCGAAAATGTAATGAAAAATTGTTCAAGTTTAAAAAGTCGTCAATATGTTATTAATTTTCGCGTAAATAAGTAGCCTTATATAAAAGATTTCATTTTACATTTTTGACTTATGTGTGTATATGTTATTTTATAGAATTTTCGTATCTTCTATAAAATTATTATCTTCCCGTTGTATCATTAGTTGCAAAACATGCTGTATTTGCATATAGTCCGCGGTCTGACTCACCAATAATCTCATCGTGATCGTCGTAGAATAGCTGACTGAATCTCCGAATTAAGGAGAGGAGAAGCTTATATGTATTTACGTGGCTGCATTTAGAGCATGACCAGTTTTCCATCTCGCGGTTTGAGGGACCGTTTTTCTAAAGAGAAAGTCGTATCGTCCTACGAGACAACGACAACATGTCACTGAAAAAACAGCGAAAACCTCAATCAACGCTTCTTGTTAATAACATTTCACCTGAGCGATCTGTGTCCGGCACTGAACGAATTCATCGTGACGTTGCAAGGACATATTTAACAGACATAAGTACTTCCAAACAGTCACGTTACGATTGTCGATTTGATTCGCTTCTGATAAAGCTGCCTCCGCTTCCGTAAATCGCTGCAACTAATTATTTTTATAGATATTATTTTTTCATTATATTTTTTCAAGGATATTTTATATCTTCTGGATATTCTCTAAATGTCTTTCGGACATGTGTGCTGTTAGGGACATGTATAAAAATAATTTTTAAAACATTCATATGCGATTTACTTTGTAATATAATTTTTTTTAATTAGCAATTTTATTTTTCAGAAGCTTGAATTTTATTAAAATCAAACAATCCAATAATAGGCCAACTTGTGAGCCGAAAGATTAAGAAGTTACAAGATTTTTTATTAAAGACATAAAATAAAAAATAATACAAAATAGAATAGAATTAATCCAATTAAATAAACAAGTAAACGTTTCGACAGTACAACTATCTTCTTTAATAAATAAATAACAATAAATTTAAAAAATATTCTTACATTAAAAATTCTTTACATCCTCAAACTTATTAGAAAGAAAGAATCTATATCTAACTGTACGAAATTAACTAATTACAGATTTTTAAAATAACAATACATATACCACAACATGATACGACTATCGTTATGGTTACGCTACAAATTCCATTAAAATAAGGCGCTGATAATTCTAATTTTTATCGATGGTAAACGCATAAAATCAGATTTCTTTAGATTCACATTTTTCAAACGTCTAAAAGTCATGAGAATTCCGCAGTTGTTTCCTTCATTGTAAAAATTGTCCTTGTGATAACGAAACCGTTATAGAACGTGATGATAAGTTGATGAGATACAGGAAATTAAAGTTTCCTGTTACCATTGTATTGAAGAAGATAGTTATACTATCGAAACGTTTACTTGTTTATTTAATTGGATTAATTCTATTATATTTTATATTATTTTTTATTTTATATCTTTAATAAAGAATCTTGTAACTTCTTAATCTTTCGGCCCGCAAGTTGGCTTATTGTTGGATTGTTTGATTTTAATTTATACACGGGCCTTATCTTAATTTCATATTATTTGCATTATTATTATTGGATTTTATTTTTATTATTGAATTTACCTCGTAAAAAGCGATTCCCGCACCTAGCCACGTTTCTGCCGTCGGTGAAGTCCGGCATGCGTTGAGGAAAACTTTTAACGCGCGCTCGTAATTGCCAATATCTTCGTAATACAGTCCCATTCTATCGACATTGTGTAATGCTGTCATTAATAACTCGTCTTCTCTTTCAATCATCTTACGTAATGCAACGAGACAAACATTTTTACCTCGTTTGTACGAGATGCAAATCGTCCGGTCGGTTATACATCGCGTTAGAAAATTCGTAGCAGCGAATAGCTTCTACAAAATCGCACTTTTCAAAATAACAATGTCCCATTAAGCCGCTGATCGAGTAATCCTAAAAATATTTTTGAAATTTAAATATTTGTATTATTCACGAGTTACATCAATTTTATATAATTAATTAATTTTCTATATATTTATAGTTATCTACGTTTCTATATATTTTATCTAAATCGATTTATTCTATCATTTCCATAATTATAAAATTAAAATTTAGATCAAATCAACCGGTTGAAATATTTGAAGGAAAACGAAAGAAGATAAAAATATGACAGACAAACCAGTCCGTAGATAGATTCAGCTTCTCTTAAATACAACAAAGCATCTTCGTATTGGCGTGACAAATAATGTTGCACGGCCAGATAATATAATACGTGGATAGATCTACCTGAGCGAGTCATTTCTTCCGCAAGTGCTAGGCCAGCAAACTGTGTGAATACAAAGTGTGACGGCGATTTGTTCGTTTTTATAATTAAAGATAAATTTTTAAGATAAGATTGAAAGATACATTACGTCGCAAAGATGTAACTTCATTAAAAGCGTGGCTGTTATCATGTAAACATTGTCCTGTGGACAGTAAATAGTTGTCCAAGCGAGGGGATCCTCACCCGCAGAGATCTCCATCTCTGCATCATCGTCCTTTATGCATTTTTCTGCTATTCGTAAAGTGAGATGTGTTCCTAAAAGAAAATAGAGAAATAGAAAAAATCATTTTATATTTTTTATATAACGCAGATTTTTTATACATATATAAAAATAATTTTAAACTATTGTTTAATGCGCGATTTAATTTATATACGTAATTTTTTAAATAAAATTAAAAATTAAATTTGATGTAATTTATTTAATTATAATTATATTCTATATTAAATTATAATTATAATATAATACATTATAATTATAATTTATTATTATAATTTATTATTATGTTAATTATATAATAATTTAATATAGGATTTCTGTAATTTACCGGGGCTATAATTCATGCGAATATAAAGCAGATGCAAGATAACCCAGCCTTCGACGAGTCGTGGATAAAAATCGGTAACAGCTTTTAGAAAGATCTCGGCTTCCCGATAGTGTTGCTCTTTGGCGAGAATTAATCCGTACATCAATAAACTGCACCGAGAAGAGAGAAATATTCATTATATTTCATTTGTATAAAATTATTTATACAACTTTATCTCTGGCTCTTCTCTGTATATACGAGCCTCGTATGAGCCTGACATAAACGATATTCATATCTGTATACGCACGCAATTTTATCGCGTCTATTCAAGAGAACTGCTTCGCAGCAGGATTCCTTTGCACGTTCCATGTCGCTGATTTTTAAGAGAAACATTGCGTATTTTGTCCAAGCTTCGGGATTACTTCTATTTATCGCGATCGCCTGCGAGAAATATCGCGCATAATAACACGTTTGATTACCTCGATATAGAAGATTGAACGTACAGTCTGATGATGTCGCCTCGCATCGTCGGTATGACCCAACTCGTAAGCTTCTTCGGCATAAATGTACAATTTTTCGAATATCACCATTTTTGGCACTTTGTTGTTCACGAGACGACTTTCGACGATCTTGTTGATGGCCAGGTGCATTCGTTCGACGAGATACGTGTATATAGATGTCACAAAGTTCTACATACAAATTGCAATTAGCGAGAAAATTTATCTTCCTCTGCCAGATTTTATGAATGAATCTATGGCTAAAGAGGATATCCTTTTTACAGCCGCAAAACTGTTTTCGTGCTGAAATTTATTCAGCATCAATGTCTTTGTTAAACGGAATGATAGATTCAAAATTAATCTCTTGATAACAGTGTTTTATATATATAATTAGATAAATAATAAATTTTTAGACCTGACTGTCGGTCGAGTGTACTTTATGTACGCCCGTCTTGAATTTCTGATCCAGCATGGAAATGACTTTTTCTTTCAAAGTGCTACGTACACTCAAGTACGTACCAGTTTTATATAGATATTGCGTGAAGCAAGTTAATTCATCCTGTAAGAATTGCGACAAATATGTATAACATAATAATTTTTTATTTTCGTCAACAATTGACCTCACCTCTTCGGGAACGAAGCAATATTTCTTTTTAGCTGTTGTTTCTAAATTATCCGAGTCATTTTCTTGTCTTCTCGAAGCGGACAACTTTTCTTGCTTTTTTTCCTCGCGAAAGTCCTGACGAAAAATATATCTCACATTGATATAAGTGATATTTTAATTTTTCGTAATACAAAATATATCTGAAATGAATTATCTTTCAATATAACGTTACGATATAAAAAAACTTAATACCCTATAACTCTCTGTAATGATCTCCACTAATTTTTGAATACAAGTTGCGTATTGTTCCTCCGCCACATCGTCTGAATAAATATAAGGCTGTTTGATTATCTTCGGTTTCATCATTTTCTCGATTCTAGCAAAATCAGTAAAGTAGGAATAAATTTTAAAACATGGTTCGATAACAGTTTATTATTTCGATTAGACATGATATTTTTCGCTATGATATATTTCTGAAAAACGAGTCATAATCGACAACTTACATGTCCGAAAAATCAGTTTCAAGTCTACAAGGAATAAATGGATAATAAAGCTCGACTTCGATTATGACGAAAACGGGCTCATCGGTTTCCGAAATTAACGGAGTTGCATTTTGCGAAAATTCCGACTGAATCGACTATTTGAAATAAGTTGAAGAAAATTCTAGTTATATGTGTAATATTCTTTCTCTTTTTAATTTTTTTTAGGGATTGTATATCAGTTCACTTTTTTTAAGTCTCGTTCCAAGCTGTTATTCCAAAGTTCTAAGATATTTTTTTCTAAACCAGTCTTTTCAGCCATATCGGATATGTTATGAGTGTACAATTGTGCTATTACTCGAGTACTTTTCGCTGCAAAAAATATTTGATATCAATATTTAAGAAGAAGAGACTTTTATATTCTTCAGATTTTAAGCCACAGCAATGTTTATAAAAATATGGGGAAAAGACAGTGCATTATTTATTATTTAAAATAGATTCACTTGCACGTACTTCCTGGAAAGACAAGTTCCGATAAGTCAACGTAACACTGATAAAATTGACATTTAGTCTCCTTCGACCTAATATTATCCTTCTCTGTATTTTTTTCGATCATCATAAATTGAAACGGCCAATATTTATACCTTTGAATATAAAATTTATTCTAATATTCAATACGGAGTCTTAAGATTCTAATGTAAAAAATTATAAAAAATATGTACTTGACAATACGTTTCTGCATTGTTTCAATTCCTGCATCATACATCACGTTACGACTCATAAAATTCCACTCGATCCTTGGTTTGTCCTGACATACTTTCTTCTACAAATTAATTGCATATCAATCTATCCTTAATTAATTGAAATGATGAAGGTTGATAATGGATAAAGATTCGATTAAATTGCGAAACTGCAAGTGTTTTAAATCTACCTCTAAATCGAATTTTGCATCGAGTGTATTTTTTATATTTGCATAATCGCGACTAAGTTTCCACTTTGACAATCTGGCGCGACTTTGCAATTTCGATAAGCTCTGCCATTGTTTCGTCCTTTCCACATCGCGATATTTTGTCCATTTACCATCTTCGAATATTACATTTTCCGGAATCTGTGATTCAAAAATAAATTTTTTTTTAACAATCAAATGTCACACACAGAGATTCTTATTTTTTATTCTGTATTATTCTGTATTATATTTGAGTTTTCGAGATACCTCATTTTTTAATATGTCTATATTGTGTATTTGCTGTATTTTTTTTTGCTTTTTCGAGTCAATATTTCCTCGTGTAAAAAGTGTGCTAATCCTGTTATAGTTACATATTAGAAAATGATGCATTTGAATATTTTGCCAAAGAAAAAAACGATTTATTTTTCAAGGAATTCAGTAATATCGATCTTCTGTAGATGGCGATATTTATATATTATTTTTTCACACTATATTATATATAAAATAAATTTATTGAAAATAAAGCAATAAGTGGAAGCGAGAGTTAGTGATAACGATTAGATAAAATTATAATCTGTTGTTTGCTCGGAATATGATCTCGTATTAAAGTTGCTTCGACTTCCTTGATTCCATTCTTAGAATTGCAATTATCATCTGCCTATATTATCTGCTTGTATACTTTCATATCTGTTCTGTTTATATTTCATCGATATACCTCACTGTATTCCGTACGTCATTGCAACTCGTGTAAAATTTTTTTCGTACATATACAGATACTCTTAAAATTAATTATATTGAAAAAAATGAAAAATATAAAAACAGTATTTTATTAAAATAATGTTTTTGCTCAATTTAACATATTGATATAAAATGAACAAATTGGCCTATTTTTAGTATATTTTTAATTGATTAATTTTTAACACATTTTAGTTTCTTTCTTTTTTACTCTTTGCCATTATTTATTGCATTTTTAATATTTTTTTATTGATACGAATTAATTATTCTTTGATTATCTCATCGTCAATATATATATATTATTGTGCCCGCTTTGTATTCTGCATTTTCGACAAAGAAGATTGGTGGATTATAAATACTTTCTATTGTAATACTCAGGAAATTAATTCTCGCTTTCGAAGGAAATTGCCATTATTCATTGCGCTTTTAATACTTTTTTATTGATACGGATTAATTATATTCTTTGATTACCTCATTGTCAATATATACTATCGTGCCCGCTTTGTATTCTGCATCTTCAATGAAGAAGACTGGCGGATTATAAATACTTTCTATTGTAATACTCAAGAAATTAATTTTTGCTTTCGAAGGAAATATCTTTTCATCGTCGCAGATCATTGTTGCGTTTATTATAGGAAGATTTTGCCACGAAATCGCATTGCCATCGAGCGATAAATGTGGCATTTGTACGATTAATCTTTCAGTGAGTAATTTTTCACCTGTGATGATACGCAAAATCTGATAAGAAAAATACTGTAAATATAATTTAATTTCATGCTTTTAATTTTAGTACAATTACCTAATAATATCGGCATTAGATCAAGACTGCAGAAACCGATGACATTTGACGACGTTAACGTCTCTTTCGAAGTACTTACTGTTGCTTTTTTCTTCGAATCCGTGTTTGATTTGACAGAATTTATCGAACGCTGATTTTGAGTTTCGCACATTACTTTTACTGACGAAACAATAAAAAAGTATAATATTTATTATATAAAAATACAAAAATATACATATAATAATAGTCAATTTTAATGGAATAAAAATATAACAGTTACATTAATTATAATTAAAAAAAATTATTACATACATGTATATTTATCCTAATAAAATATAAATTATTTTTTGTTTCATATTGATAAAAATAGGTTGTGAAATAAAAATGCATGCTTTACTTAAAATCGGCGTCGATACAACTGAATTCATGCTATCATGATCGTTAATTATAAATGAAAGTTCAACGGCAAAATTGACATCATAAACTTGTGGTGGTTCCTTGAAATCCGGATCGATAAAAAGGGGAATACTTTCTCCCAGCACTACGTCTTTGTGCATCACGACAAACGATACGCTAGTTTCTTCTCTCATAGTCTATATTTGTTTCGTGAAAAAATAAAGATTTTTTTAATTATAAAATAATTGAAAAAAACTTACGATATTTTCAATAGATTCTATAATAATTTTGATGCTTTTCTCCTCCGATGCTTCAATTGATTCGTCTTGAACTGAAGATTCCTCCATTGAAAAATATATTATCGCTAGGCCACAAACTTTTAATTAATTATTAATAATGCAAGATAACAAATCTAACTTTTTAATACTTTTTCATAAGAGTGTAATAAAATAACTTAACATAGCCTACTCTTCGATATTGATAGAAATGATAATTGCGAGTTTACTTTCAATCGTTTGTTGATGCCTCGAAAGAGACTTCAAGTCGAAAGAGAAGAAAAATTTTCTGAATCACGATAATATGAGTATTTTCAAAAAATTTCATTCCAAATAAGTAGACTATTATATGATATAACAATATTAATTTTATTTATCAATAGTATATATATATATATATATGTGTGTGCCTTCTCTCAATAATAAATAACAAGCAATTATCTTTGGTACATACACATATGTGTACGCGTATAAATTATTTTATATTATATTGTACATATAAATGAATTCTCTGATATACAATTCTAATGGACGGCTTACAAATCACAGAAAAGAGAGAGAGAGAGAGAGAGAGAGAGAGAGAAAGTCTCAAATAATATTCAATAATCATTTTCATAAACAAATTCTAGTCTTATAGCACTTGATATTTTATTATTCGGTAAAAATTTATAAACATTCGTCAATACTTTCCTTTGTAGCGCGTTTAGAGTAATATTATATATTCAGAAGTTACAATTGGATTTACAAACAATAATTATGGTATCGAACTAACGAATTTAAACTTTCGACTCACGTCGAAAGCATCGTCGATTCCGAAGCAAATTAACTCATCGCTATCGGCAATGGTCTCTTTTTGTCAGCTATATTTTATATTTTTCTCTTCCTGCAACTCATTAATATAGAGTTGGTGAAGACAACAATGAGACAAAAATGTTTTTTTTCTTTCTTCGAAACACACAATGGCGTCGATACAATTTACGTCACGAGCGCTACAATTAATGTATAGAATTGAGCTAAAATTTTGCGATCGCGAAATTTCAACAATCGTCAAATACGAAGGCACTACAGTTCTCCAAACTTGCACTTACGTCAAAGTGCACATCCTTTATACAATCATATAAAAAACTAATATACATGCGTATATGTATTAAAATTACAAGTATCAAAACTTCGCCGGGTTCATTTTGTGATGAGAGAAAAGGGAGACGAAAATCGTGATACGAGATGAGCTCTTTCTCTCGTTTTTTTCCCTGACATTATACAATCACTAAAATCACATCATTTCGCTCTATTGAATTTTCAGAAGGAAAATATACAGATAATACGCAGGGGAGAAATGGCTGCTTGCTTGTCTCTGGTATATACGTTGTAGAAAATTCTTGTCATGTCCTAAATCGACTTTTAAACGGATCATTAAAATCGTTTCTGCGTAATACAGCAGTCTTCTGGGGTAGTTTGTTTAACGACAACAAAGGGCTAAATAACATTACGCAGATTTAATTCGGACGGAACGATAGGGGTTACAAGGTCTTCATGGTTTTGTCGATGTGTCTCAACGTCGTTTCCGGTACTGCGTCCGTTAACGCTTTCCGAAATCCGTCGCAGCGAGCCAGGCGTCGAAACATCTTCTTCGCATAATTCCTAAAAAAAATTACCGACATTTTATAGAAATTTAATAGATAATTTAATCGAAATTTTAATATAGAAATAGCAATTTTATTGTTAGATGTGTGAAAGAACGATAAGAGTCGATTTTACCTGGCGTCTAGATTTCCGTCCATCAACAATTTTGCGCCTGCATTTAATAGTTTATCCTTCCCGTCACGTGGTAAGATCATAATGTGATCCGGTCCGATGCGATCGGTGATGTCGAATAGCAATCGAGCGGTCGCTGCGCGTACGATACCGTTTTGATGGCTGTGACAGAATAATTAAGAAATGAAACAATAATTAGGAAAGCGATAAAAAATATGAACAATATATACGAATTTTTTCTAGTAACTTTAAGTTTACCTCGCTCCCCGAAGTACGATAATACCGATGGTTTTGTGAGGCGGAAGATACTGCACCATCTGATCCAGGGCCGCGTTACTGTCTGCTCGAAGGAATCGATTCGTATCAGCTGTTCTTTGAAGCAACGGTCCAGCTATGTCATCCAAATCCTATAAAAAAAAATTTTTTACTGTTCTTTCACATCTAAAATTGCTATTTCTAGCAAGTGCAATTTTTATTAGAATTTCGATAATTTTTTTTTTAGAAATTGCATGTTCGATAAAAATGATAGGCGTCAGGTAAAGTTACAAAAATGAAATCAGATTTATGCAGAGGGAGGTAAAAGTGAAATTTTTATTGTTTTCTCTAGACAACTTACGGAAAATATCAAGTTTCATTTTTTAATTCGTTTGAAATTTCAGAAAAAAAATGAAAACTCGATTTTTATCTCCTCAGGGTGGGATATAAGAGCATATATTTATATAACAAACCTTCTTTATTTTTCGGTAATCATCTCTTAAAATGTTTGACACTTATTTAGATATACTTTGTACATATATATATGTACATATACATATCGATGTGAATTCGCGTTGATCGATAGCGCCAATGGAATTGATAGATCGCGATGGTTTGTTTAGGAATGTAATTGAATTCTCTATCACTGGTTAAAACCAGTTATTATTTATTCCCGTGTAGACTTGATCTATATCTACCTGATCGATGCCCCGGATCTGCGAGCTGAAGACATCACCGGCAGCGAGACACGCGGCACGAGCCACTTGCGAACGAAGGTTCTTTACATGTCGTCCGAGAAGCCGACTTATCGTTCCGGTCGCGCACGCGTCCAGATACTCCGGATGCTGCTTCGAGATCTGAGACAGGCTCTTCAACCCCTTCATCGTTACTTCCCTGAAACGTATATTTATGTAGAATACGAGGATATTTGTTAATTAGTACTTTAGTATAGAAGGACATTTTTTGCAAGACTTACCAATCTTTATTATCCAATTGTGCAAAGCATTGTTGCACCATTCTCTTGGATTTTTCCAGAGAGGACTTCTCGGTCGGAGAGGCTCTTTTGTTGGAAGGCGCTCGGTATCTACTGACACTACGTATCGGTACTTTCGAAGCGATTCTTCTGCGCGACTCAATAGCTTTCCCAGATTCAGGCTGTGTAAGAAAAATTTAACAAATGTTATAGATGATAAATTATCTGATTGGATTTTTTCGTACCGCCAGTCAAAAAATTAAAGGAATAAATATTTCTCGGCCAATTGGCAATTCTTTATTTAATAAATCTCACGACGTTTCGACTATAGTGTTGGTTCTTTTCAAGTGTACTATTAAAACATTAAATTAATATTCTAATTTATATCACTTCTTCATTAACAAAGTCTTACTTGTTTCACGCTAATGAAAAGAATCATTTTTTTATCATAAGCTGTACCTCGATTTTCAATATTCCCGGCTCGGTATTCGTTTCACTCGTACTGTCTTTACTTTGTCTGTCCTCCAAGGTGTCGTTCACGCTAGACTCCTCTTCCGTAAACTGAAACCGTAATTACCGTAGATTAATGTCTTCTTAGCAAAGTTACACACACAATTTCTTACCTCCTGCGTATGAATCTGATTACGCGAGTTCTCTAGATTCTCGGCAGTCTCGTGAGAATGGGGTCTCGACGCGATGATGATTGCCGGTGATTCACCGGTCATATTGATGTCTATGAGCGGGCGAGCGATGGTGTCCAACGATGATTGAACGGAAGCATCCTCGTCAGGTACTATGGAAGCGATTATTCTCTCCTCGCTGAAATCCCTGGGATTCTCGGCCTGATATCCACACGATTAAATGTCAAATAAATGTATATCTTTTATCATAATAAAATTTTATCAAAATAAAATAAAATGCGCCAACGATCAATTATTAATAATTCTATCAATTTTTGAGGACCGATTATTATTAATAATTTTATCAATTTTTCTACAATTCGCCGTCTACTAACCAAATTGCGCGAACCGCAGCGAGAATTCCTTTTGGACGGCGATTGATCGGAGATTGGCGAGTTATTGCTGCTGCGATTCTCGGGCGATCGGTAGAGCGATTCCGATTTTTTGGGACTCGCGGTTTTTGTTTGCACCGACTCCTTCATTATTTTTGGATCCTCCTGATAGGGTGAAACGCGTTCGTTCGGGGTTACAGGTACGATGGATCTTCTTCTAGCGCTCGATCTAACATCATCTGATTGCGAGCCGCAACTGCAACTGCTTTCTGTGCTCTCGCTGCGATTTTCGTTCACGATTAGCTCTCCATGAGTCGAAAGCCTCGAAATCGACCCCATTCGACTCCCCGGCTTCGCGTCGTCCTCACTGTTCCATTTCTTCGACGCCTCGTCTGGTACTTTTGCCATCTGGCTCGAGTATTCCATCTTGTCGGTGTCCAACGGCGTCTGAAATTGTTCGAGAAGATTATGTTATCCGGATTATTCGCATTGTGTCAAAATAATTACAGTAAAAATATCCAGTTAAATAATGACATTTGATTCAATGAGCAAAGTCTCTAATTTTTCTCATATTAAATATTACATATTTTAATACACATAATGATAATATTTTTTCTTTAGATGTATTAAACTTTACATTACTATATAATAAAGAGAGAAATTAGAAAACAGTAAAAAGTAAAATTAAAAAAAAAGTGTATATTTTAAACAGAGAATTTATTAATTTCTCAAGTCAATTTTTTAAGCACACTTTCATTTTAGTTTGACGTTTAATTACCGTATTTAATGATGGAAAATAAAATGTCGCGTCAAACGACGAACGCCGTTCTTTAAATTTTCGCTGAGGAAGTAACGACTCCACATATGCGAAAAAATCTATTATCGAACTATTAATCCTCATTGTTGGTGAGTCACCCTGTATGTGTGAAAATTATGTATTTGCTGATTTATTAATTAGGGGGCAGGGAAGATTCGTCGACGTGTTGTCGGTCAACAAAAAAAAATCTGGATAATCTGGAAAGGCGTTTAATTCTTACGAAAAAGGAGTCGACGTAGTCGCGACCACCCTGACGATTCGTTGTGATGACGTCAAACGCTGGATCGTCATTTTGACTTCGCGGGGTCGACGATCCGCTGTTGTCACTGTCGTTGCCGTTGTAATTCCGCGACCCCGCGACATCCTGATTCTTGTCGACCCCTCGTTGATCACTCCTGGAAACGTCCGACGACGAGCTGTTTGCGCTTCCGGGGTGACCGCGCGCGACCGAGAAAGACCGCAGAAATTCTGAAAATTTTTAGAGGAATTACAGATTTTTCTTACTTCGTGAAAGAGACGGATAATGTTTGCTTTCCCTACCCTAAAAAAATTTATTGAACTGGAATAAATATTTTAATACTGCCTTAGAAATCATTTATTTGAAACTAATAATATTGATCTGAAAAATATTTATTTGACATGAAAAAATCCTTTTCAGAATAGATAAATATTTATTTGTTTCAAATAAATGATTTATTAGACAGTACTGAAATAAACATTTAATAATTTTTTTTCAGTGTACAAAATTTGAGGACAGATGAGGCCACAAAAGGATCGATTTCCAGCTAAAAAATGTAACATAAAATTTATACACACAATTTTATCTTTTCTAAGTCGCTGGATACGATTATAAAATTTTTTCCTTTATTAAAATGATAGAAAAATGATCAAAATTCTTATACGTCTAATTTATGTTACAATTGTTTAAGTAGAAAAATTCTTTCAATTTTTACCAAAAATATTATTATACTCTTATTCTTATTTTTTATGAGAAAAATTTGACTCTCTCTCTCTCTCTCTCTCTCTCTCTCTTCATGTGATGTGTCTGAGAAATATTTTACTGATTCCATATAAGCTATCCAAAAATGAATATAATTCGAGGGATAGATGGACTAGTATCGATCTCGCTTTTCGTACGATGCAATGCGCGCGGTTCGATCGTACCTTAGACTTGACCAGCGGAATATTGATCACCGGCTAAGTCTAACGAAAGCTCCCTATATGTATGCACGACGAGGTGAAGAACCTCTCGCTCCATTTCCATTGTCTTCAGCTGCGCGTTCGTGCCGAAAGCTTCATTCGGCAGTTTATTCGGCATCGCCTTATCGTTCCGCATCTCCAACTAATCCATCGAAATGATCCCCCGAATCCTCGACAGACAGTCGCAAGCGCAACTTCTAACCGATCGGTGTGAACCGCCATAGTGTGTCATATTTTTTAATCCAATTTCGCGTGAAAATCAAGGAGTCGAAAATCTCTAAAGGGTGGTGATTAATTTTTTTTTTTCGAAATCAAGCATAATAGAAGAGAGCCTAATTTAAAAAAAATGGATACAGTGGAATATTCTTAAAAAGAGTAGGACTTACCTTGGTACCGGAATTCCTCCTTGTTCGAGTTTTGCACCTGATAGTTCTTCGCCTCCGGCGACAAGTGACGTTTGTTTCGCACATTGTACTCCTCTTCCTTTACCGCTTTGTCGCTGTAAAAAAAGAATACGGAAATAGAAATCGACTTGAAAGTTTCTACGCAATCTTGTATATTCGCGCTCTACGAATGCGTTATTAATATTTTAGCAGAGATGCCTCGCGCGATCGCGCAAAGCAGTATTTTTACATGAGCCACATATATATATATATATATATATATATATATATATATATATATATATATATATATACATATATATATTATAGATGCTTACGTAAGTTCAATCGCGTCAGTATCGCGGAATTACGAATCAGGCAGTATGAATAAAATAACATGAGTGTCACGATTGACAAGGAAGGCCAACGTGCGTCTTTATATACTTGAATATATGTATTTTTCTATCTCCACACAGATGTTTTCCACATTTACTCTGGCGACGTTTTACTTTCCTAAAAATTTTGACTGCACATTACCTTAAAGTGTTTTTAAATATTAAAAATCATTTTCATATATCGCACTATCTTTCTTTCTCTCTTTCTTTCTCTCTTTCTTCTTTGATCGATCTCAAGTTTATCTTTTCTTAATAAGAATTCGAAAAGCATTAGCTTTTCCAATAGCGTCCTTTTGTGATTGTTTAAAATAATAATTATTATTTTGATAATAATAATAATTATTATTAATATTAATTTTTTAATAATAACATAGGTCGACAAATAAAATTTTTGTCAAGTAATTCTAATCAGAATAAGTTTTTCTTATAGATTTTCGATTATACAAAAAAATGCCGCTGTCCAAATTACTCCATCACGTTAAATTTTTAAGAGAAATTAACGATTTATGTGATATTTCTATAACTGTTCCTAAAATAATAAAAGTAGGTAAATGTTTGATTTACATATTGATTTCTCATTAGCAAAGGATACAAAATTGTCTAACAAATAGCAAGTATTTTCACTAATCTTTGACAATAAGTGAAAACAAATAGTTGGATTTCAATTTTATTACATTATTACTTTTCTTTAAAATATATATAATTTTATTTAAAATATGTGAAAAAATACAATTCTAATATGATTGAAACAAATTTTTCAGAATCAAAGAAGTTTTATTAAATTTTAATATAAAAAAATATTTTCTTTTTAATTTTTGTTTTAATGTCACTTAAAAATTTTGACATTTTAATAGTAAAAATAGATTTATTTAGTTAATGAATATATTTATTGTATTAGATATTTTTCGTTTAAATCGCTAATTTTTCTAATTAAAAATCTATAAGAAACATCTGTTCTGATTAGAGTTACTTGACCAAAATTTTTTCTCTGCCTGTGTAATTAAATTAATATTAATAATACACGGAAAGAATTTTCTTGTAGAATTTTACCCTGGAAATCATAATAATCGTGGGACAATATGGTATTGGAAGAATTTTATAAGAGTTTTACTGATTAAATATTTACCGCAATAAAAAATATTAATACATAATTTTTATTATGTACATAATAAACTTAATCGAACATATTTTATGTTATTGTAGACATTAATATTTTTTATTGTGATGTAAATATTAAATCACAGAGAAAGCCTATAATAAAATTCTTCCAATACTATATTGTCCCACGATTACCATGATATTCCCATATGATTACCATGATAAATCAGGATAAATAATAAATAAAAATAATAAAAAAATATAATAATAAATAATAAATGGGGATATTCTAAGAGAAAATTCTCTCTGTGTATTAAACATCATTATTTTCATAATAATTATTATTTCATATTCTGTACGAATCGCGCTATTATTTCCCTTCCGCAAAGAAACTTGGTCGTCGACGAGACGATGAACGTCAACGTACACCGTGTCGCCGTTTCGGTTGAGCCTAAGGGCGATGACAGGCGTGGTGGCTGTGGTGATGACAGTCGAGATGGACGCGGCGCCGTCGTCCACGTCATTGTTGTCGACGCCGACCGATTTCCTGCATCGGAAAATGCACGGGCAGCATCGGAGAACGGCGTCCGCGATCTTGTGCTCCTCCTTCGCGTTACTCGGCCAGGAGCAAAATTTCAGGATCATCCTTCTTCTCGTCAACGATCCCGGTTCAGGGTTCTCGTCCGAGTGATCTCCGCGACTTCTTCATAGTTCGAGCGATAATTCTACACCTCTATATCGCGCACTAATCATTTGTACTCTTTCACTTAATTAGGTAGCAATCCATCGTTCGCGAATCATGTCATTAGAGAATGTCCACCCTCTCGTCCGCAAAGGAAGATCGCTTCTGTTAACCATCGATTGACTTCTAATGACGCTTATTCGTTCTATCAATTTTCCAACTCGACTTCTTGATCTCCGAGCCATTTTCTCTTACTTTCTATTTAATTTTCTAATGGACGAGTGATGGTTAATGTTGTGTAGCTTACAATGATGGGACGGTAGCGATGTAAAAGGTTAAATATCGCAAAGTCTCGACCTTTTTCAAATCATTAAAAAGGAGAAATAGCCGCGTCAGAGAAACTCTAGCGAAAGAATCAATCGATACTAACGACTATTTCAAAGTTCACCAGCTCTGCGCGTTGCGAAATATTCGAAATTGATGACGTCGGAATAATTCGAACGACGCGACGCAGGAACTCGCGTTAGATCGGGCCACCGATTAATTATCGATCAGACGTCCAAGAAAAACTCGCTTTCCGAGGTTCAAACTGACTGCTATATTTTTATTTAGTTCTCGTTTATTTCACACTATTCATTCCTATACCTTTATTATTATCATTATTCATATTTTAATTTTTTTCATACTATTCCATTCTATTTGATTTGCGCGGCTATTTTTTCCTCAGCCTTTAACATTTCCCGAGTCGTCGTTCGTCCCGATTAAATCTCTGCATATATTTTCGCAGACGATCGAATTATTCGCAATTATCCTATACAGTCGCGCATTCGATCGAGATTTTACGATACTCATCGCGCTACCATCTCTAGGAGAGACTTTTCAAGGGCGAACTTGCATAGTACGAGTCCACGTGTACGTCGCGGATATATACACACACTCGGATGCACTCGGGGATGCGTTTGCGGCCCGATTCAAATGACAGAGGTCGACGACACTCGCGTGTCAAACGCATGATTATTGGGGTGGTCAGGGTGCTCTCTAATTTCGTGTTTGTCCGCGAAAGGCGGGAAAGGATGGTGAACGAGAATGCATGGTGTCGCGTTCACGAGGGACGACACGGCATGACTGTCGACAATCGACGACTTACGCACGACTGTGGCTTACATAGAGGCGTCCCGACGCTGACCGCTGCCGTTGCCACCCCCACATTGCCCCCGACACCCTCCCTCCTACCCCCGAAGTCTTCCAGCGACTCCTTGGTCTTTCTATAATTCTGTATTTTTCTGTATTTTTTTAACGAAGATAAGAATGTATAAGCTATGAATTTAAAATGTAGTGATAGTAAAATGTAAATTTAAAATGGTTTTTTTTCTTTTTTTTTTTAAAGAGAACTAAAAAATATAAAATATAATATAATTAAAAGAAAATATAATTATATTAATAATATAAATTAATAATTATTATAATAATATAAAGTATAATGAAAAATATAAAATAACATAAAATAGTAAAAAAGAATAATAAAATATAATATAATTAAAATAAAATATAATTATATTAATAATATAAATTAATAATTATTATAATAATATAAAGTATAATGAAAAATATAAAATAACATAAAATAGTAAAAAAAGAAAAATAAAATAAAATATAAAATAATTAAAAAAATAAAATATTTAAATATAAGAAGATGAAATATAACTGAAACTAAAGTAAACGTCTAATTTTATGGATAAAAAAATATGATGATAATGAGACTCTATCTTTCTTTTATTCTACGCTCTTACAAATCACCCTCCTACTAGCTAGGCTGACCGTAACTCGCCCTTTTCCCCTCGTGGTCACGAGGGAAGAAAGGGTTGCCAGGTCGAGTCATGCGATCCGCGGTGAAACGCGGTTAAAGAAGGTTGAGGCAAGTGTTAACCGCATTTATCCGTCTTTCTTCACGAGTCTTGGAATTCGGACTAAATCTTTCATAATTTCGCAGAAGATAAGTGTACAGTTGTGTCGGATTTCTAAATTTAAATTTCAATCTTATCTGAATCTGAGATTATTGTTCACCCATAATTTATCCTTCTCTTTCGGCGAAAATTGATTCTAATTGCTAACACGCGAAATTCCCAATTGTCATCCAATTTCTATATTTTGAAAGAGATAGCGTGAGTCACGTGTGGAATCACGTTCCAAGAAATTTTCGTATAATAATTATTAATTTTTAAAAAATTTTTGGAAGGAAAATACATGAGATTATTAGGACGAAAAATTTTTTGCGAAATTAATATAGGAAATATTAATCATTTTTATAAAAAAAATTAAAATACATACAAGAAATTGATTTTTACGGGCGCACGAGGAAGTTCCTGCCTGTATTCGCGTTTATATAGCAAATATCTCTGGATAGGAAATATTGAACAGCGATCAGTCGCTGCGTGTCGGCTTAAACGTAAAATATTCAACGAGGAAGAACGGACGATAGCGCGCGATATACGTAAGGCGTTTCGACAATCTACAACAGTCCCGCATGATGTGCACATGTGCACATATGGCATATATATAGGTTTTTAATACCAGGGAACATTAGGGCTTTCGAGTCGTATAATTTCCGTGCAAAAATAAAATTCTCCTTCTCGAAATGTTTTTTCTATATCGTGTCGCACGCACGCTTTCCCTCTCCTTCGAGACATTTTTTCTCCTCTCCTTTAATTTTATCGACCGGCTAATTCGAACCGGTTAAAATGGTTCGCTCGTGATACAGTGGCATACTTTGTAAGCGAGCTATTAAATATTAAATTTGAGATCAGCCTGCAATCTCGACGGGGAACGCGGATTTTATAAATTAAAAAAATTGATCGGCGTGTGTTTATCGACTTGAAAAATCGTCGACATGCGATAATTCGCCGACCTGAAATAATTCATCCTCTGTACCGGTTCTGTATCGGCGATTTGGATCTTACCACGCGTCGCGTTAAGTGTGTTAAAAAATAATATGTGCCACGTGAGACGAGATCGAGATTAAGCGAAAATACGAGGTCGCGCACCTTCGCGAGCCGTCACAGCCTTTCGCGATTATCTCGAACATGTGTGTAATCGCACAGTCCCGGGATGAGGTTTCTTTCGGATGGAAAAAAATTACGTCGAGCGAGTTGCACAGTTTCGCATTTTTCTTCAAATTTTTCTTTATGGGATTCGAAATATAAAAGTTCGAGGTCTAAGGGTTCATTATTATACGCATATTTCAGCCGGTGATCGATAAACCGGGTGGGTATCTTGCTCGCAGTTTATTTTGGGACAGAATCGATTCTGTCTGAAATTAAGTGCTCTTAAAAAAATATGTATATGTGTATGTCGAGTCGATTCGCCAGGATGACGCGTCGATTTTGTTTGGAAAAAATGTGAGCTTTTTATTCACGAGAGACTTACATGTCGTACATCGACGCGGTGCGAAATCTTCTGGAGGTCAATTTGCCGAACTGTCGCGGTCGATGGAGTTCCGAGGGTGATAATGATCGTAGCCTTCGGCGATGAGGTTTCACCTTTTCCACAGAAGAACGTCCGTTTTCCTGCGAATCCGACGAGGTCAGATCCTCGGTCTTCCGTTCCACTTCCGCCACTTCCGATCCATCCTTCGACTGCGACACGAATTGTATAAGTTAGTATTCATAAATATCAAAATGTTAAAGAATTTTTAAATTTTATAAAATTCTAAACATTTAAAAATCTAGATTCTACATAACATATAAAATCGAAAAAGATCAATTTAAAATTAGGTCAGATCCTCGGTCTTCCGTTCCACTTCCGCCATTTCCGATCCATCCTTCGACTGCGACACGATTTGTATAAGTTAGTATTCATAAATATCAAAATGTTAAAGAATTTTAAAATTTTATAAAATTCTAAACATTTAAAAATCTAGATTCTAAATAACATATAAAATCGAAAGAGATCAATTTAAAATTAAATTGTCTAGACATCAATAGGTCATCTTTTAAAGCGCTTTTTTATTGTTAAGAAAATTAGACATGCAATCGTTGTCCTTAATTAGTGAAGCAATGAAGCAGTTTATTACCCGGTATATCGTGTTCCTATCGTTATCCGAGACTTGTGATTTTAGATTCTCGTCATACACGCAAGTTAATGGATTCGGAGCAGTTCGTAATCGTCTATATACAGTTCTGTCCGCAAGTTTCCTCTGTCGCTCGTGAATCGAGCTGTACCTGTGGAAATGAAAATTAATTATGCTGATTGTGAGAAAAATTTTCGCAGATCAGAAGGGATTAAAATGACTCACATTTCGACAAGCGTCTGTTGCTGCATATTTCTAGATAATCGTTTACGTCCTCCTGCGCGATCCGAGTTTTCGTTCTTATCCGTAAAATCGTCGTTCACAAATCTGCCGTAATTGTCATTCGAGAAAATCGCTTCTCTTCCCGCAACGCTCTGCAAAATCATAGAGAGATATAAATGAAATTTGAATATATTTTTACAAAGATACATACGCGGTTCCTTTTTTTATTTAATATTTAGATTTTTTATAATTTTATATTAAAATTTGTTATAATTTAATTTATGGTATTTTTTAGATTTTAATATCTTTAATCCCTCTCGCGTTACTTTCGTAGATAAATTTGTATTACATTAAATATATGTATATATAATTTGTTTTTGCAACGGAATATGAATGAAATAACGAAAATAACAATGAAAATGAAGAAAAATGAATGAAATATAACTTACATTATATTCTCTATTTGTTATTTCCGGAGCTTTCGCGTAAGATGAACGGTAACTACCGCAATGCGAATCGAATGTCTGATTCAAAGTCTGATTCGCCTCTTGTTGCAGACGTTTTCGCCTTTGATACGCAGCCGCATATGACCTGCATGCACAATTAACAAATGTTAATTCAATTTGAGATGTGTAAATTGCAAATTCTCGCGATGTGAAGCCAATGATAATCCTCACCGAATATTTTCTTGCCGCGAATTTATCCGGTTGCTATTGCTGTCCAACGCATCCTTCATTTGCTTTCGCGAATTATTAGAATTGATGTATTCCAGATTGATGGATTTTTCACGATTTTGCGTAGTTATTTTAGGCCGCTCGCGTGTTGACAATATCGGAATCTTGGATTCTCCTCGGAGAGCAGTGCTTTCCTGTAAGCGCACATTTTGCACAATTAATAAATGTATATTCCATATATTTGTAATAATATATTGCATCATAATTTCATAAACCTCATATAGTAAAAAATAATTTATTATATTCTGGTGTATATTTATTATACACTTGTATCTATTATATACAGGCTCTATGATTAGTAGTAAAAGTATAGTAGTGATTCTATACATGAAGGAAATTAATTGAAAATATAGAATACAATTTATTTAAGCTCTCTGTATTTTTTATACGATTATATGAGCCTTTTACCTTTTCTTTAGCAACTTCATTAACGTTTTTACGATTTCGCGCTTTCTGTTCAAAATTATTGTCAGAAATCTCTCTGTGATTTTTAGCATCAGTCTCACCGAAATCGTACTGATTCGATGATGTGTAAGAGGATCGCAATTGCTCTTCGAATCTTAAATTGACGTTTGAGAACACTCCTGTGGAAAATCAAGTTGTCGTTACAAAACTTTGTTACAAAAGACACAATCAAACTAGTTAATTAAAATCGGAATTAGGGAAGGATTACATTACCCGCATTCACGTTCCGTCCGTTCGAGCCTTTTATCTCATTTCCATTGTCGTCCTGTAAGAAAATTGTATAAAAATTATTTAAATATCGAATCTGAGATAAATCACGGTGGGATATTCTAACCCTCGGCACTTTTGACAGGGACACATTTCCACGAACTGATATTTAAACGCGTTACACAATTATATTATTTTTAAAAATTTTGTATTTTGAAGTATGGACTCTTACTTATGTGTAAAAAATTGAGTGGAAAATTGATATAATAACCTATATTATTGTGACAATTATCTCCTGTCCGTGACGTACCATCGGAATTAATTAAAGAAACAAATGAACGTGTCGCCGTAAAATGTTAAAAATATACTAGACATTTTATACAGGATATTTTTATATATCAATGACCTTATTAAGCCTGATAATCTCTATTAAAAGTTCGTCGACGAAATCAACTGATATGCAAATACAAATTGCGAAAAGATTATGTTATTGAATCGCACGCAAAGAGTACAATGTTTCTTTTTCGTGTTCAAAGCTCCTTACTCAATTCTCACACTCGACGGAGGAATAATAATTATAAAGGGTCGCGGCGGAAGATATGCAAAGTAAAACTCGATGGAAAAAAATGTATCGCACTTTTCCCCGTTTTTGCTTTCTACTCTCTTAAGTGTTTGCTATTACAGCATTTGAATTGCAAAGCTCAATAACCCGACGAATAATATGTTACGATGACATCAGGAAAAATTGGCAGTACGTAAACGCCGCTATATATGGAGAATCGATACTATTTTATGAAAGTAATAACGTAATAATGTCAAAAGTCATTAATATAATCTCTTTTCATTAATCTATTACAATCTACTAGTATCGACCAGTCATACATATTCTTTAAGAAATACGTTAAGAGATCTCTGTGTGTTATAGAACCCTTTTGTGATATAAAATTAATTGGGTTTACTTGAAAAATTAATTTATAAAATTGCAAACGCTTTAAAAATATAGTTCCAACATTTATCACTTATATTACTATTTTTTTCTATTATTAATATACATATATGTATATTTATCTTTATGACCGCATATATTATTTTTATGTGAGAGGATTGTAAAATGGAAGATGTATGGAGAGATATAATGGAAAATGTAGGTCATCTTACGTTAGTTTGCGAAGGTAATATCTGCCAAGCGGTCGATTCGGTCTTAGATTGCAAACTGACACCAAGCGCGACGAGATTTGGTCTATCCATCCAAGAGTTTTCGCGGTTGTTTTCGTTCCTAGAAGAAACCATGTATTTCGATTTTACATAAATATATACTTTTTTGTATTGAATATCTCGGACGGTCCTCTTCCGAACTACCTAGGTAGCAAGCATACTTTGACGTTTAGTGACGTCATTTTGACGTTCAGTGACGTCAGTTTGCTACTTAGGCACTTACCGGGATGCTCTTCCTTGCGCCGATCTAGATGTGGCGATGATCTGACCTCTGGTGCGACCGGTACCAGGTGAGACCGAGCCGCTTCCCGCTACGATCCAATCGACATCGGGACCTGTTCGTAAAGAAAATCGAGGATAAATGTACATTTAAGTATTTACATGCATTTGTCATAAAATGTACATTTTATAATTTATGGTTTGTCCAAAAATTATATTCTTTCGATTAAACGCGGTTCTGCATATTTGCGCTTGATACAAAATTATGTGTGCTCTCACCAGAGAAAGAGAGAGAAAGAAAAAAGATAACACATGTAGTTGAATAGAACAAACTTTACGATTGCGTGTAGATAATCAAAATATGTATTATATGTAATATTAAATCTCGTGTTTTACATCGAAATATCACGCGGCTAAATATGAGGTTTTAAAATGTTCTTTAAACATACAAATACTACATGGTTTTTTCACGTATATGATTGTAAGAAGAATCAACATAAAATACTCTAATATATTATTTTACAGTATCTATTTTTGTTACAAAATTTTAATTTCTATTATAAAACGAATAGCAATAGAACAAAGTTTTTATTATCTTTTAATATATTTTCTAATTCTATTATAAAATAAAAAATGTTATTGTACAGTAGAGTTTCTACTGTACTAAATTACTTGATAATACAATTTCTCAGTAAATATAGAATATTCTACAATATTATTGGATGCTTTTTTTTAATATTCCAGATTCTCTGAATTTAAAGTCGATTTCTTCTTAGTGAAAATGTTAAAGGAGATTATCATTTTTGGCAAATTTCCAATGTGTTGTATCATACACCTTTATAACTAAGTTTTAAATTAAACTTCCATTGAAATAAATTTTATATCTAAAATTGTAGTTCACCTTTTGACTCCACAAAGTTTTGCGAAAAGTTTCTTTTTAATTCTAATTCTTTAAGAAAATAATAGAAGCCTCGAGATTTTCGTTAAGGAAAAATCGTTTCCCAAATTGATCGGAGAATCATCTGCTATTAAAAGGAAAGTCGGAGTGATTTTGAGATGCATCCAGCTTAATAATAAAATTCAGTCTCTATTCGATTTGAAAATTCGATAATTCATTATAATTTTATTTTATCTACACGTATTACGCTTCTCTCGTTTGTTCCCGGTTATTATTACCCGTAGTGATCTGAACAGTCGATGAAATTTGCAAACCGTACACCACAAGGCCATCGGCCGACACCAGGGGTAGCAACTTCCTGGCCAACCGTGCTCTGACGGCAGCCAGCATTGCCTCGGCATCGGGATGTCCATCGGCCGCTTGTCTTCCTGCCTCGAGAACCTCCTGCAAAAACAATAGACCTTGTCAAATAAATTACTCTAATTGAAAGATTAGTTGCGCGTATTTAAAATCGAAACTTAAAAATAAAGCTGGTCCCAGATGTATTTTTCTATATGAAACGCCAGGCTACAGAATTCGAATTGCATTATTCATAAAATTTTGCGTTAGTTCTTCGGGTTTTCATACAAAAATATTAGCTACTGTATAGCTAAATTTTACAAAATTTAAATTTTTATTGTTTACAATAGATTTTTTATTGTAAATTATTTGATAATAATTTCTCAATAAATATCGAATATTCCGAAATTATTGGATGCTTTTTAATATTCCAGACTCTCTAGATTTAAAGTCAATTTCTCCTTAGCGAAATTGTCAAGGGGGATAATCATTTTTGGCCAATTTCCAATGCGTTGCATCATATAACTTTGTAACTAATGTAAGTCTTAAATTAAACTTCACATTAAAATAAATTTTATCTAAAATTAACTGAAAGATGTAGAAGTTCATCCCTATATATTACCACCTGAAATTTAGTTATCATGCCTAAATTTTAACTAATATTTTTTACCTATAGTTCAACGAAGAATTCTGTAGCTAAAAAATATCAGTTGCTAGTATACCTAATTTGTTTTCGAGTCATACCTCGGAATCATAAATCTGTCCTAAAACGGCTAAAGCATCGAGAGCAGCTTGACGTACTCTGCGTCGACGATCCGGGACCATCGCGGCGACTCGACTAGCCACAAATTCCAGCTTGAACTCGGTACTCGGAAACGTCACCAGAGAAAAGATCAGTAGCTGCAGCGCGTTCTCTCTCGTCTGCGAAGAACGGGGAGCGATGCAATTTTTCTTTAGATATTTCGCCAAACTAATTACGTGAGATGGACTTACTTTGGCGTTTCTAGCGCTTAGACAGTGAGGCTGCAGCAGCTGTTCCAGAAGGAGGCTGGGTTTCAGTCTGAGCATCGCGATCCTGGCCAGCTGCGCCGCAGCTGGACCACCCTGTCTGGCGAGGCCCCAGGCCAGCTGGGGCAATCTCTTCCTCAAGGCGTCTTCCGAGACACCGGCGACCACGACCTACAGGTAGAAATTACGAAACAGTCTCTATATAAGAATGTCGACACGTGGCGCGAAAAATCGACGACTATGGAATATAGCTAACGTTTGACGCGTCTATGCTGCGTCATAAGCCTCTATGACATTACGAAAGAATCGTAGAACATATTCTTCAGCTAAAAGTGTCTTCTACGCAACTTGCGATAGGATATACATGAAACATAGCCGTCCTTGCAACTTTTATACTGTAAGAATTGTAAATGCTTCTAGGATCGAATATCGATAACGAAAGCTTCATTCAGGAATCTCTTACGTGCGCGATATAAAAAAATTAATTTGAAAAAATAAGTAAAATTGAATAATTTAAAACATTTTCAGCTAATCTTAAAAATTGAACAATGGAACCTTGACGATTTTTCTTTAGCAAAAATGTCGAGGGAGGCCATCATTGTTTGCATGTTCCCAATTTTTGTCATTATATGTATCTTTATAACTAAATCTTAAATTAAAATTTTATTAAAGTAAACTCTACTTGAAATTAATTGGAGAAAATTATTGATGTCTCAATATTTTTTCTGAAGGAAAATTGTCTCAAAATAACAAGATCTATACTTGTATATTTTCGGTGTGACACTCTGTATATCGTCTTTTTCAAATACAAAAAATATATTAATTGTCAAGAGTTGCTTCTCGATTGGAGATATACTTTTAGCGCGCGATATACATGCGCATACATATAATTTATATAATAACGAGGCTCGGCGTTATCCGCCGACAATTACCTCGTCCTGGCAATAAATTAGCCGAGATCTTCGCGCATTTAAGGCTTGATCTTGACGAAAGTTACGAGGAGCTTACCTTCGCCACGGCGAAGCCGGCGGCGGCCACCCGGCAGCTCCTTTCGCCACCGAGCACCGCATGCAAGAGCGATCCTAATCGCGACTCTATCGCGATCAGCGCCGAGGACGTCCGCAGAGCCGACGCGACTCTCTCCAAGCCTCTCACGCGTGCCCGCCAATCGTCCTGAAAGAGCAAGACAACGTCTAATTAGAAGACGATTAAAAGCCCCGTCAAGCATAATGCATCGTAATAGTCATGTGATATCATATGATTACATTTCTCTCTCCTTTCCACGATGTGCTCCAGACATCTTATTACGATTTAATAAACACTGTCGGATATTTAAATGCAAGAAGTTGCTTATCTTATTTTTTTTTTATTTCGCTCTTGCTCTTCTTTCTTTGTATTTTCTATATTTTTACATCTCGTTTAAAATATTATTTTTAATGCACAGAGAGAATTTTCTCTTAGAATTTACCCGGAAAATCATGGTAATCGTGAGATAATATGGTACTGGAAAAATTTTATAAGATAAATATGATAATATTAATATGTATACATAGTAAATTTTACTATTTACTATTAATAATTAATCAGAGAAACTCTTATAAAATTCTTCCGTGTGTGTGATTTTCAGAGTAAATTATAAGAGAAAATTCTCTCCGTATATAATAAATAATTTGTTAGAGAGGAGAAAGCCTTCGATTCAGGAAGGCTCGAGAAGATTAATTTTTTTGCCTAACAAGATTGATTTTTCTTATCATTATATATATGCATATAGCCAACATTATATTTTCTATCTGTGCTCATCTCGCGTGCAAGTCTTCCAATTACACGTAATAAGGATATAAGCCGCACTTGCCTGTGTTTGTTATTCTTTGAATTAACTTCGCCAAATTGCTGAATCGTTATAAAAACGCTAGGTGAATTGTACTCGCGTGATTCATCTTTAATTACGTGCATATGTATATTGATTTCCGTCGATCTCACTCGAATCATTTCTATAGCCCGCCTAACCATTCGTCTCTGTCGAGGGAATAAAATAAAATTGCCGTATGTAAAAAGAAATTTTTTTTATTTGCGGGAAATCCAATTACGTGAGAGCGAATGAACGTTGTCGCTGGAAATTCACTGGAGTCCGACATTATTGATCGTCAAAGCGAGACCGAATGCAGTCGGTGCATCTGCATTCTCACCGCGTGTTCTCCTATCGAGCCCTAACCGCGGAATCGATACCAGGGTTAGCATCTTTTTTTCTTCTTTCGATATCTCTCGTAGAATTTCTCTGTGTAGAATCTTTTTAATATTCTGTCTTTTTTAATATTTTTAATATAATTTTTTAATATTCTCAAACGTCTCGTCAGACATGGCGAACAAATGACCGGCTGATTATGGCGCTTACAATGAATCAGAGAACGGCTTGAAAATTACATTCGGTCGTGGTGGTACAATTGCCACTTGATTTGCATATACACGGGAACGGGAACGTTTTCCTGGACCGAGCGACGTGGCACGCAATACGTGGCTAATTATTTTCTTGCACCTTTCTCCCCTCTCTCTGTCTATATTATTTCTTCCATGTAATGCGAGGGAAATCTCTCCCGTCGTTTTTCACCCTCTTTCACTCTTTCCCCTCCCATCGTAGAATATTCATACTTTGCTTTGGCATAAACTCGACTTTACTCTGCTGTAAAAAAGCGACGTAATAATTTCGACGAAATGCGTTATTCATTTTGCATTTATTTTCTTTTTCATGAATCAGTTTCGGAATTATTAACGAATTATGGGTTTTATTCATTTGTGATTTAATGGAGAGAAACTATATACAATGTACTATAAATGATCATTAGAAGATTTAATTTTCAAATAAATTTTACTTTGACACGCATTGAAAAGAAAAATGTTTAGGTGATTAAATCTTTCAACTAAATAATATTTTGTTAATTGAACATATAAAAATATTTAAATTAAATATAACATATTAAATCTAACAAAACGTGCATGTATTTGACTTAAATACTAATATATATTTAATTACAACAAAATAATAATTTAGTTGAAAGATCTAATCCAGTTAACAATTTTTTCAGAGCGTGTATGAAAAATTGATTAGGTGGTATTCAAATGAGATACTCATCGATTCGCGGAAAATTGGAAGATTATATACATTCAACGACAAATAGCGAACAAAATTTTATGAAACTTTTATCCGGTATAGAGAACCGACTTTAAAGTAATACGCGAGTAGGAAGTAGGAACCTGCAGGTGACATCGCATCAATTATGCAGCGCCTATAGGATGTGTCGCGAAAAGTCCAAAGTTGCGGGAAACATATTTCGTTTTTCCGGATACACAAACGACACCCCGTGGAAATCGATTGCGCGGGAGGGAGGATTTAGAGGTATTTATTTTCATAGACCTCTCTCGCGCAGACGAGGCCGAGGCCGCGCGTGCATTCATAAAAAGGTCTAGTGCAGTGACCTTGACGTCGGTCGCTGAATGAACACAAGGCGCACCTGTGACAATCGCGATCGTCGTTCGGGATAGCTGTATGTACATACATCTAGATAGATTCGCGGGCACGATAGAGGAATTTAATGGAGATTGATCTGTCAGCGAGTTGAAATCACTCTTTCGAGTTTGACGTATCGATTTTACATTCGAATTTTCCGAATGATTTCTTTCTCTTTAAAGAAGGTGTCACACGAGTTTCAACAGCTGAACTAACGGAATTAATTTATGCGGAGAACGTCTTTGGCCGTGAAGTTCCCCACTCAAACCTCAGGAGTGGACCTTCGTTCATCGATACCGAAAAAAATTTATTCATTTTTTCTACTTTGCTAAATCATCTTTCATTTGGAAAAATCATCTCGAAATTAACTCTGCTCGAAAAAAGACATTTGATCATTTTGAGACGCTCTAAGTAATATTTTATAATAATTATGATGATCAGTGATCAACTCGGGGCCGATGATACTCTAGATCCATCACCATCGCAATTGGTGAACACAAAACCGGTCAGTTAGTCTGTGTATAGAATTGGTAGAGGAAGTGCAGAGAATGTGTTTGCCTTGCGAGAGAACTCTAGGAAGAATTCGATCGTTCTGCTTCAGTAACATTTCTACGAGTATAAAGTATAAACGCGAAGTGATTATATATTTATGAATAAATCGCGTCTCGATTATGTCGAGGCAACAGAAACGTGCATTTTTCCGATTATTTCAAATTGTCGTCTGCCTCGGCGTTATCTTGTCGACGTTAAAATTGTTTATTATCACTATCGGAGATGAAGATAAACCTCTTCCCGCCGCCGATGAGTTGAGAAAGCTGTTGGTGAGTCACACACGTTGCATTCTATTAACGATATTGACGATGAGAACAAATGATAGGTAAACAAAACCGATCTCTGCCTAAGAGGAATAACGTAAATTATTTATATTTTAATTATATTATATATATTTTAATTTATAATTTAATTATTATATATAATTTATATATAATTATTATATATTATATATTATATATTATATATAATTTTTTATTTTTAAACATTCTGAATGAAAGTGACTACATCTTAAAGTACTAAAATAAAGCCAAAATGATATATGTACAATTTACGTTATATTTTTTCGATAAAAATAGACTCTTTTTATATCTGCCATGCTTTTAAATCTCGCGATTTTACATCAATCATCTTAGATCAAAGCTGAGATGGACAACACACGACGATTGTTGAACGTCGAAAGAGTATGCAAGAAGTACAATTTGGGCTCCTATCGAAAGCTCGCCGAGGATTCGTCGTTCAAACATCCGCCTGCGCCACAGTACACCGTCTTCTACATGGACAGGTTCATTATAAAAAAAAAAAATACTTTGACATTAATAAAGAATCGATTAAATCGATAGACCATGGATTATGCAATTTGCTGCAACAGGGTACACAACATATCCTACTGCCCGGTGTACAAAGCCGGCACCACGACCTGGCTCTACAATCTCTGCCTATTGATGAACGTGCCTTCGGAGACGTTGGATAACGGCAAGGAACAATTGTCGACTGTCGCTAGAAGGGCGATGCCGGAACTCGAGTACCCCGAGGCTGAACGGGTCCTAAATGCGACCAGAAGACTCCTGGTCGTCCGACATCCCTTCGAGAGGCTGTTGAGCGCCTATCGCGACAAACTCGAGAACTCCGTCGCCGGCCGGGAGCACGGAACATTGCACTTTTATCGCAAGCACGGAGCCAAGATCGTGCGGAAGTATCGCAGTAAGTCACGAGAAAGTAAAAGGGAGAAGAAGAGAGGGAAAAAGTGTGTGATCGCGATAGCTCGAATCCCTTCTTCATGCAAGCAAAAACTGTTATAAATAAATCTTTACATTCAACGATTTAAATATAATATTCTAACATTTTTTCATCATTTTAAATAACGAAAAAATGTGCGATTAATGTGAATTTTATATGGAAGATAGAGAGTGATGATGAATTTTTTTTCTTAATCTTCAGAGGAAAATTTCACGGAACCACGACCAGATCAAGTGATCCGACGTGATAATGTTCCACCTCCAGCAGGTGTGGAACCGACCTTTCGAGAGTTTGTCGATTACATGATCGATACTGATCTAGGAAGTTATGGCGATGATCACTGGATGCCGTATTATCTTTATTGCACTCCCTGCCTCGTCAAGTATGACATTATCGCGAATGTGAGTGAATCCGCGAAACCACGTATTCATCGTCTGTAATATTTAACATTAAACATTTCTTCGAATTTTTTTAATAATTTTTTTTAATAAAAAAATTCTTGCTCCAAATTAAATTTTCTGTAAATGTATCATAATTTTGTAGGTGGAATCGCTGTGGCGAGATCAAGTGTACGCGATCAATAAGTTGGGATTGCAGGACAAGATTAAGCCTAGATGGAGGCATAGTAATGGTCACGTCAACGCTTCCAGGATATACTTCCGTCAATTAAACGGAGCGACTGTGCGAAAGCTTTACGAGAAGCTAAGACTGGACTTCGAGCTTTTCGATTACTCGCCCGATATTTATTACGAGTACGCCACGTCCACGGATTAATTCAAAGTCCGATCGAATGTAAATCGAGGTCACACATCTCCGCGCGAAGCTCTGCACTATAGCGTCTAGCGATCTATCTGTATGACGTAATTTTCTAATAACGACACATAAAGTGCCGCGATATGATGCTTGATATGAAAACAAGTTCTTCGTGTATATGAGATTAAAAAAAAGAGGAAGAAAAAGATACGTTAAGGGTCTGTGTACGCGCGCACACGTAACCCCGATAATTGATGGAGCTTAAATCACGTTACGTCACGCGACGAAACTTTTGTCGACGAGAATCGATCGACCTACTTCTCACCCGTGTACTAATGTATCGGACCGGCGACCTGTCCTAAAGTCAAGGGTCCCCCGAATGAGCATGTTAATCCTCGCCGCGAGTCCCAGAAGCCGAGCGTTACCCTGCCCTGGCGGAAATGATACCAAATTTTCGCGTAAAAAAGACATCAATGTCTTTGAGATACATTAATAAATACGGATATGATATATTTAGTTATATATTTGCACTTTATATTAGTGCTATCATAATTCGAAAATTAATTTACACAGAGAGAATTTTCTTTTAGAATTTGCCCTGAAAATTATGGGACAATATTTATAAGAGTTTCTCTGATTAATATTTACTATAATAAAAATATTAATATTTACCACAGTAAGATATATAATATGTTCGATTAATTTTAACATGTATATAGTAATATTTACTATGCACATATTAATATTTTTATTACGTAAACTCTAAGAGGAAATTCTCTCCGAATTTCATGCACGAATAAATCAATTATTCTCGTCCTCGCTTTAATATCGTCAATTTAACTTGACTTAATTTATATTATTTGAGAAATTTTTATAGAAATTTAAAAATGTATATAATTTGCTAATTATTTTTTAGAAATATCTTAAGAAAGAACTATGAAAGACATCTCAATATGAAACCGTAAAAGGTCTAACTGTTGCAAACTTTTATAAAAACTTTATAAAAAAATTAATTATATATATATATATATATATATATATATATATACAATAAATTTACATAATACCTTAATATAAAATATTTGGTGTACTTATATTAACTTCGAGATTATTCGGAAATGATTTTGCTTTCTGAATCCACTCACCTTATTGTGCAGATCGTCCAGCACCTCTTGACCGACCAACCCTAATTCCTCCCAGCTAGGTTCTCGCGGTTTTCCCTCGCCCTCGCTGCTGCTGCAAGTGACACTTCCGTTCCCCTCCGACGCGCTCTTCCGGTCGCCGGAGCATTGACCGCTTCGTCCCCTTCGTCCTTCGCCGTCGTCGAAAATGCGCACGTCCTCCCGTTCGTCGTCGACGAAATCGCCGCCAACCAGGCGATCTATTCGCGCCTCGCATTCGCCGTTAATCGGCGACCCGAATGGCAGATTGTTGGAAAAATCGCGGGTAAAATTGCTCTGCTCGATCGATGCCTTCCGAACGTCTTCATTCGAGCGTCCTCTCTCCATTTCGTCGTCCTTATTTTCTTCAGTCGTCTTCGAACGACTTGGATTCAACAGCTTTGTCGGCGATGAAGTCTTCTCTCGTCGCGAGGCGGTTTCGGAAACGCTTTCATCGATCACGTGATTTCCTTCAAGGATCGTTTGTTCTCCCCTTAATGATGCATTCTTCGGGGTTGCAACTTGAGCTGCCTTGGACACGTTATTTTCATTATCCTTGATCAGTTTATCCTCTTTATTCGCTGAATACAAAGTTGTTTGAGCTAAAGCAGCGTCTTCCTTCCTCGACGTCTCGTTAACTTCTTTCGAACTATCATTCACCTTGGAAAAGCTTTATCCTCCAAAACTGCTTCGCCGCTTTTCCTATCTTTTTACTTCTCTTAGCTTCTTCCGTAGAATCGATAACGATGAGAGGACCGTCCGTTCGTGTGAGGATACTCTTCTTAGGACTCAGTTGCGCGTTGTGAGTGTATTCTCTCTTGGGGCTGCTGGATGCCGACCTGGAAACCCTCTTCGATCTTCGTTTCTCTCCCGCGTAGGGACTACAGGGCTGCGACGATGGTCGTCTCCGATTCGTCGTTTCCGGCATCTTGGTAGCTGGCGATACAGGAAGCGGGATCCTCGTCTTAGGTGTTATCTCGATCGATTCCGTCTCGTCGCTGTCGGGTGTCCTCAACTTGACGATCTCGCCGCCGAAGCGGACGCGTCTCGGCGTCTTCCGTTTATCCGAGGAGGCCGAATTCCCGCTCTCATCCTCCTCCTTTTCCTCCAGGATCGTCATCGTGATGGCCGTCTCTTCGTTGAACTTGATCTCGGTCTCCAGAACAACTCTCGCTGGTGGTATCGCGCCTTCATCCTCTTCTTCAGCAATACCGGAAGTGTCGCTGTCGCTGTCCCAGCTCTTGTCCAAGGTACGTTCCTTCGTGTCGGGTTTGACGATATCCCGCGCGCGATTTCTCTCTCGCTTCTTCTTGGTCGTTGGCTTGATGTTGTAAATCTTGGAGAGAACGTCGATGTTCTTTTTCAGCTTGTCGTCGTAATCCGCCAGGTAGCTCTCGAATTCTTCGTCGCCGACCTCATCGCGAATCTTCATGAGGGATTTGAGAACGGCCTCCTGGTGCGGTACCTGGACCAGTCGTGCGGCAAAGGCGATCGTGGCGTCTTTCAGGATCTGCGTGGTCGGTGGAGGACTGTCGGAGGATGGAAAAAGCAGCAGCGGAGCACTCAGAATCACCCCCGTTGTCACGTTCGTCTGAAATGGATTGTGAGCGTCCGGTCGATTCAAGCCGTCGTGAAGGATCTGTAACGAAACGAATTTTGCATTTAATTTTTATTCACAATTATTATTGTTAGCTATCCAATTATTGTTTAACTTAACTTAATCTTTAATTTGATTTTAATTTCATATTGAATATTAGAGAAAATAGAAAAAAAGCTTCTTTTTCAGCGCATTGCGGCTATTTACGTTTTTGACCACGCTGTCTTTGTTGGGGTGTGAATGAGGTAGACCCGCAGCGCGTCCAAGGCGCCCTTGCGTACCGCCGGCGCTGGATGCCCCAAATTATTGATCAGCTCCGGCACCACCGGTTGCATGACCTTGTCAACGACATCGGCATTCAGCGTCGGTAGAACGTCCATTAGCACTCGCAGAGCGTGCTGGCGCACCTCCCATTCCGGGTCTCGAAGTCTCTCGGAGATCTCAATGAAGGTGGCCTGAGTGTCGATCTCGGATGGAAACCTACGCGTTCGCACCTGGCCGGAAAAACCGCGAATTGCAAATTTCAATTATATCTCCAATAAAAAACCAAAGTGCTTCAATTTTAAGAATTAAAAATACAAGCATAAAACATGAAATAAAATATAATTAATATAATAAAATATATAATAATATAATAAATGTAATTATATATAAATTATATATAATTATATAACACATATTATATATAATTATAAATAATTATGTATAATTATATAAAAAAATATTATTATATAATAAAATATGATTAATTTAATATATTTGATCTCGACGCGTACTACGTGTTCCCAGAGTGGAGTCAGCTGTATCGTTTGTCCGGACGGCGGAGCGGACGTCATCCGACGTCGTAACTGATGACGATGACGACAGCCTCGCCTCGCCGACGAGCCATCGCCCTCGGACAAGGGTCTAAGGTCGTAAGTCGATGGCGGCACGGGATCTTCCTGGGGCTGCAGCGGCCCCGCATCTGTCGAGCCTGTCATAGATGACGACAAGCAGCCGGACATATCCCCCTACGTCTCGTCCTTCAGGAACCACCGATTATCCCTCATCATCTCCCGCGATCGCGAATCCGACGACGCCTGATCGCTCATCGATGCTTCCGGTGTACATATACACATAAATCGCACATGCAAGTCACTGTGCTAGAAATTGCATATGAACAAGAGCACGATTTTTTCAGGAGGGGACATTTCAAGTAGCAAACTGACGCCATTAGACGTTAAATAACGTCATTTTGACATCTAATGACGTCATTCGATGTCAAAATGATATATTTGAGATGATTCAAAATACTTTCAGTTATTCACAGAATTATAATACTTATAGAATTTGAAATTTTTAAAAATGTCTTTTTTAAGGAGAAATATTCAATTTTTTGCTGATTCCAGGGAAGGAGGCAAATATCTCCTCTTACCTTTCCCTCTGTGCATATAAAGTCGTATAAAATCGCTCTATGATATCGATATATATATTCACTCGTATTTTCTATCGTAAAACCTTTACCTTTGAACTTCAAATTAATATTTGCATATATTTTTTCACTCGTGGTTTATATTAACATATCGCAAAAAAAGCCCGAGCTTTAAAACTGAATATCAATAATGATGATAACGGTTTATGCAAGGAAGGAAGGAATAGATCGATTCTTTCTACAAAGTTAATTAACTAGGATTGTAAAGACCGGATATGCTGACATAAGGGTATGCCAATTTAACGATCGACACGTAATGCCGAAGTTCTCATATATTCCATCGTGTTGTTCCAAATTGCGGCAAATATGCAGTTTTATTTTCTACGTAATAAATTTTTAATTTTTAATTTATAATTTATAATTTTAAATTTATAATTTACACACTTTGCACAAAATATAAAATTGTCAAATATAAACAATCTTGTTAATGTTTACAAAATATAAGAATGAAACTAAACGCTCTGTCGTGTTTGCAGGTGTACGAGATTGTGACGTCAAAAGAGCGGGAAACCGGAAAGGGAAAACATGCAACTTGCCCGCGCAAATCGCGCATTAAAATTTAATTTAAATATTCTAACATTTGATATTAATATTCGAACGCGAGATGTCAAGTCTACTTCCTCCTAAACATCCGTCGAAGCTTATTCCGCGATTCCTTATTTGCGACGACTCTGCCCGGAATCAAGAATTGGCGAATGATTGACGTTTGTTTTGCTTCCGGCATATCGAGAGAGGCGCGATTGACGTTACAAAAGACAGTCAAACAGGTCGGGAGCGATTACTTTCGAAGCAAGATATGCATATTTCACGGACGAATAGATCATAAATAAGGAAGACTGATCAAAACACGTCAGCCGCACGAGATGTCATTCATCGTTTCGTGTCATGAGCTCGCTGTATATTCATATCCGCGATTTATGAGATGAGATTTCCGTCTCTCCTCTATTGTCGAGAGATAATAAATGTTCGAATAATTTTAAGATTGAATAAAATATATATATATATCGGGACGACATCGCGCTCGGCACGTTATATTGGTATTTTTTTTTTTTAACGTTAAAAGTCTCGCAAGAGGAAAACCGCGAAGTTTATCATTAAATCTCTCACGACACGAAACTCTCAAGTAAAAAAAGTAGTACACACGAAAAGCGATTGCATAATTCGAAGAAAGAACGTGCGTATTTTTTAAAATATATTATACATGCGCTGGCTCAAAATTGTGGGAGACCAACGAAATCACGCTTGATAATGATTATAATAATCATAAATTTTAGTCAAATAAATGTGTATTTTACTAATATTAATCGAGAGATGAAACTGATAATCTACTATTTTAATAAATTTGTAAGAATCAACAAAAATTTGCAAGATAATAAACTCGACTGTATAATTAATTATTATCTTTCTATCCTTTTTAATCCTAACTATTTAAAATTTTAAATTAAAGAATTAAAATTTTGGAAAAACAGGGAAAAAGGTCTAAAGACTTTGGAGATATTCTTTGATTTTTAAAGATTTAAACTCGATTTAACAAAAATCATTTATTTAAATTTTATCTTTTATATCATATGTATAGTTTTCGCAAAATATTTAGCGTTACAGAAACAAAACATATTTTTATGTTATATATAATATAATACTCATGTGTGTGTGTGTGTGTGTGTGTGTGTGTGTGTGTGTGTGTGTGACAATATTGTAAATCTGTATGTTTTAAAAATTCAAAATTTTTTTATATAAGGAAAAAAGAGAATAGAAAGACAGAAAAATACATAAAACTAAATTAGTTAGCACATCAAATCGAAGAATATTAATATTAATAAGAAATATACAATTTTAATATGCATTAAAAAGTTATGGAATTTTCATGTGACTTTTCAATTCGACGATGAAAAAAATTGTAACTTAATTTAGTTTAAGGAAAATTATTTTTTTACATCTCTTTTATAAAAATTTATAGGAACCAGTGCACTTTAATATGAATTTCATACAAGACCACTTGAAAACTAAAGCTAGGTAACGAGAATTATTTAAAAAATATTTCAGATATATAAATAGCAATCGAAAAATTGAGTGTAAATATCTGAAAATGTTACTCAAAATGTTACTTCCTCTTCTCGCTATCGTCAAATCTTTGGCGAATTATTGTGATTAATATTTCGAACAGATATGAGAAAGAGCGCTTATTTGATAGATAAGTATGAGAAATATTTTTAAAAAATATTTCAGATAAAACAGCAATTGAAAAATCTATTGTAATATCTGAAAATGTTGCTCGAAATGTGACTTTTCTTCTCGCTATCGTCAAATCTTTGGCGATATTATTGTGATTAATATATTAAATAAATGAGAATGAGAGGAAGCGCTTACTTTATTAAACAAGTATAATGAGAAATAAAAAAATTTCAAGTAAAATAGCAATCGGAAAATTGATTGTAAATATCTGAAAATGTTGCTCGAAATGTTACGAACTTTCGTTCTCGCTATCGTCAAACCTTTGACGATATTATTGTGATTAATATTTTGAACGGATGAGAAAGAGAGCAAGTGCTTACTTGAAATAAGTATAATGAAAAATATTGAAAAAAAAGTTGAGATGAGAGAGAGAGGAAGCGCTTACTTTAGATGAAGCAGCGGAGAGACGCTCCAGTACAAATAAGCGAGTACACTCGACCGCGGCCGGCATGTGACTAACTTCAGCCACCGCGGTTCTCCGCGAGGTAAGGTGCTTCGCGGAGTTAATATCGACCACCCCCGTCCATCCCCCGCCTCGCACTTTGGCGAGAATCGTCTTATACTTTACAGCGAGCGATAGCGTCGCATATACAAGTGCCTGGACGCAAGATATATTGCAAAAATAAATTATTACCCCAAACTATCTTCTTCTTTCGTATGAAAAGATAAAGTCTCGTGGCGGGAGAAAAGTTTGCGCGCGCTTTCGCGCCGCGATCGATTAATTATTTTTATACCTTAATGGCGTGTTAATGGATTATATTTTAATGCTATGTTAAGATCGATGATGAAAACGCAGATAGATGAATGTGCGGACGCGACATCGATAATATTTTGTTAAAAGATGTCATATATTTGATTAAATTTTATTACGTTTAAATGTTGTGTATATATATCCCCAGGTAGAATATAACATTCATGACGTCATAATAATTTTATTCATCACTTAAAAGTTATCTTGACAAAAATGATAAAAAAATTATTTAAAGTTGACAAAAGGAATTATAGATTTAAAAGCTCCCTAATATAAGATATATAATCGCTTTATATAATTCTCAAAATTTTGTTTTCCAAAATGACTTAAGTGACGTCATTATGCCATTATGTTCTACCTGGCGCCATCGCGCGCGTCTCTTTTAGACGGTAAAATTCTTTGGTTTAATGATGAAAACAAAGCACGTGATTCTGTATATATATTCGCGAAGTTACTGAAGATTTGACGAACTATAGCTTACTTGTCCAATATTTACAACGCGTCAATCTTGCTTTAGACTCTGATTAATCGTTTCATTATTCAGTTTAAGTCGAGCTTCTCCCCTACGACCTATCAGGGAGAGACGTTTTTTATGCCTACAAGTTCCCCCTTGCATAACACCATCTAAATGACATCCCGACAACGTAAGAGAACCGAGAAATATTTATCTTGACGGAGTATACAAGTCGTAAAGGTTTCTGTGTATTTACAGCAATAAAAGCTACGACTATATATGTCAATGAATGCCCGAGGCGGCACGCGATATTCATGAAATTGAGCACCGACAATATCGAAATTCCGCTACAGGTATATAAGCCAACGCGCTACACATATACATATATTTACAAACGTGATTATAGAGAAATGATTCGAATAAATGAGGTTTACGGCGAATGTAAAAACATTGGACCGTGACGTGGTTGATCGATTCCGCTCGGAAAGGCCCGGTTCGTATCGCGCGGAGTCTCTTATCGGACTCATTTATGCTATTAGCGGTACACCCGCATATACATCATTGCAATACAATCTGTTGATTTTACCGTTTTCTTGGAGAAAAAAATCGTCTAACGTGACAAAATACAAACTTCTTTTACGATCGATTCGCTAGAGTCTTTAAAGATTTTTCGCATAATCTGAATCGAATAAAAATGGACTATAAAAATTAATGCCGCAAATTACTAGAAAATTAAGACTGAGGAAAGCAGGAAGAATATATGCATTCATAATATAAAATAGAAAGTTGCATTGAACGCACGAAAAAATATATAGACTATGGAAAAGAAAGAACAGATAATAATCCTTAAGGTTCGCCAGTAATAATTAATAAAAATCTTTCCTCAATGGTAAAAGAAAGAACTTAGTTTTCTTTTTTTTCGAAATGTAATAAATATACAGTATTTATATACATTGTAAAAACGGATATTTTCACGCAGTAGGAAGCTTGGTCAGTGTATCCGCGTATTGAAACTCTGAACTATTTTCGTAATCACACATGTCCAAAGCGATAACGCAGCTTTCGTGAACGACTCTTTTACTGTCATTGAGGTATTTGTTCAATATCTTGTAGCACTCAGGAGTGGCAATGGAACCCAAGGCTTCCGCGCATTCATGCCTGACCATCTCGTTTTCTTCTGTATTTTCTAATGATGCTCGCAATCCTGGCACAGATGCCTCTTCTTGAAGTTGTCCCAGAACAAACGCTACCTCATGTTTGAACAAAGCACTACCAGCTTTCAACCTGTATCACATAAAGGCAAATGATTAATTATTACTCCATGCTTACTACCTTTCCTTATATTGGAACAATATAATTTCTTACCTTTGGTAAGAGCAAGGATGCTTTCCTTGGTGCCTAAATTTCTCAATGAAAACATTGCCCTGTATCTATCAAACAATGACTTGTTTTCATCTAATAAAATTTCTTGTAAATTATCCACATTTGTTATATCAGCCGGAGGTGCTGGATCGACAGTCGAGTATGGATTATTTTGTAAGTTCTCTGTATTAGTATTAGATTCCAACCACTTCAATCGATCCAAGGCCAACTCACAGGTTTCTGCTACCTCTGGTACAGGATCTTTGCGATATTTTTCCAATAATGGAATTACACTTGGCTCACCAATAGCACCTAATGCCTCTCCTGTATAAATCACATTAATTTTTTTATCAATTCCAAAACAGGCCACTAATTAAGTGACATACCAAATACACACATACCTGCTTCATGACGTACCATAGGTTCTTGTGACAGATCTTCCAATACATTTGTTAAAATGCTAATCGCTTTAGGATCCTTCATCTGACCCAGGCAATATGCAAGCTCATGCTTTAACAGCGCCGATTCGTCCTTAAAGCATCTACTGATCTGATTATTGCCGTTGCACCACCAATATTCTTCAGGGTAAATAACGCTCGGAATCTTTCTTTCAAAGGCCTGGCAGAATCATTCAAGACTCCGCCTATGGTTAAAATAACGCTCTCACTTGCTCGTACCATTTTCAGTAATGTTTATTAAATGGTGAATATTAAAATCACCAACATAAAGGAAAACAATTTATGTACAGATTTACCTTAAAAATAATATATATAAATCAGTAATCATAAAAATAAAATTACCGGTAATTTTAACCTAAATCATATAATATATAACACAAATATGTTTAAAAATTGATAAATATTTGTGTGATTTCTTACCATATCAAGTAAAATTTATAACTGGACGTTTGCCTGTTTTAATGAGATAAATAAATGAATGCAATGTTGTAATTAAAAATTATAGTTACAATAATACTTCACGTGATCACAGATTAATAGACAGATCGCCAAAGGTCTGGATGCAGTGTTGTTAGACGGGCTAGGTTTTTCGCGCATGCGCATTGAATGTAGTATTAATGAAGTAGTCACTCGCATGAAATGGGGTCCTGATTTCCCCCTCTGTTTAATTTTTCTTAAATTATTGAAAATTTTTTAAAATAATTAATGAATCGTATAATTTTTATTATAAATATAATAAATTTAATTAAAAATGTTAAATATAAACATACAATAAACAAATAATGAAATTATAAAATATATACATATACGTGTACCTATGTTATAACATACGTAAATTACGAGTTTAGTTTTTATTTATACAATTTATAATTTGAATTATTGATTAATTTTAATATACATAAATTATAATAATACACTTTTATATTACATATATTGTAATAATTTATTTATTTTACGTACGTTCAATTATCTGTTTCCTGCGATTCCGCCAAAACTCCGTGGTCCAGGGTTTTGGTCCGTAGTTGCGCGCGCAAACATCATACGTTACTGTAGTCGTCATGGTTACGTCACGGTAATACGCGCATGCGCGAAAAAACCTAGCCCGTCTAACAACACTGTCTGGATGAGGAGAGACCAGCATTTCTCACTGATTTCAGCGCCATATCGTAGTAGTAGTCAATGCAGTAACTATTAATACGTTCCCAAGATAAGAGCGTCTCATGCTCATGAACTCGTCCGGCGGCATGTACGAGATTTATCTTTTCGTAGCGTTCGCGTATTTCGGAAAGGACAGAATTTTATGATGTTATAAATAAATAAATAAATAAAATATTAACCTGACCTATTATAATTATTTTTTAATAAATGTTTCATTATTATTATCATCTAAGTCTAAGTCGTTTAATTAATTTTTAGTTTTTTAATAATTAATTTAATTTATTCTAATCATTTTAATATGTGAAAAATACTAATACGTATACGTTTTATAATGAATTAATATATTTCGAGAGTCGAATTATATATTTTTAATAATATAAAAGTGTTCAAAAATTATATTTGACTTTTAATTTTAATTATTTTAGCAAAGAGTTCCGAAATCTCTTACACACATAATAGAGATTTTGTCATCCATATAATTCGCAATTAAGTATATATGTTAATTATTAATTTTAATAAAATACAAAATTAAAATTAAAGGTCAAATATAATTTTTGAACATAAATATATTTATAACGTATAAGACGGGCAACAAGAGCCAAATCGCGGATGACAATGCGTTATCCTAACGGAACTAAATAATTTTCGTTAGAATTAAATACCGGTGCACAAGGCACCAAATTTTACTTGGACACGGCCAAGATTTAAATATGAAAAATCTCATATTTTGAGATTTAATTTCAATACCCTTTAACCCCCTACGGAAAATAAATAAATGAATGCAGAGAAAAATATAGATCCGAAATCGTTGAATCGGGAATCGAACCCGAGAGCGAAAGGTCTCTTGACCTTTCGCTCTCGGGTTCGATTCCCGATTCAACGAATTTCGGATCTATATTTTTCTCTTGCATTCATTTATTTATTTTCCGTAGGGGGGTTAAAGGGGTATTGAAATTAAATCTCAAAATATGAGATTATTTCATATTTAAAATCTTGGCCGTGTCCAAGTAAAAATTTGGTGCTTGTGCACCGGTATTTAATTCTAACGAAAAATTATTTAGTTCGTTAGGATAACGCATTGTCATCCGCGATTTGGCTCTTGTTGCCCGTCTTATACGTTAAATTTATATTATATTACAGAGCCTGTTTAAAAGTCTTATAAATATATTTAATTCGTTATAAAACGTATACCCGTGATAGTATTTTTCTCGTACAAAAATAACTAGAACAAATTAAATTACTCATAAAAAAATTAAAAAATAATTAAATAATTTATATTATATATGATAATAATAAAACATTTATAAAAAAAAACAGATTCAATAAATATAAGTATATATATAACATGTACTATATTTATTGAATCTGTTTTTAATAAAATGTTTTATAAGCTTAGAAAACTTGACTTTGACGTAACTAGCAAATTTTATTTAATTATTTCACGACGGTTTGACGTAATAAAATGTTTTATTATATTATATAAAATATAAGTTTAAATTCTTTAATTAATTTTTAATCTTTTATGATTAATTTAATTTACTCTAATTATTTTTGTACGAGAAAAATACTATCATGGGTATACGTTTTATAATTAATTTAATATATTTGTGTTTAAAAATTATATTTGACCTTTAATTTTAATTTTTATTTTATTAAAATTAATAATTAACATATATACTTAATTGCGAATTATATGGATGAAAAAAATCCCCATTATGTGTGTAAGAGATTTCGGAACTCTTTGCTATAAAATAATTAAAATTAAAAGTCAAATATAATTTTTGAACACTTTATATTATTAAGAATATATAATTCGATTCCCGAAATATATTAATCATATAAACGTATACGTGATATTATTTTTCTCATATAAAAATGACTAGAATAAATTAAATTAATTATTAAAAAACTAAAAAGTAATTAAACGACTTAGACTTAGATGATAATAATAATGAAACATTTTATTAAAAAAAGATTCAATAACTAGTAGGTCAGGTTATAATTTTTTATTTATTTATTTATAACATTATGAGCTATTAAGCTCATCATCTCGTTCGCTCTCTGTCTTGCTTTCATTCGGCAAGTCACAAACGATATATGATACTCGTATGTTCCTACTTCAACTCTCGAGAATCTGAAACAAACGAAACTCGTGTCCAATATACAGGGTGTCCGGTAACTAACAGACCAATGATTACAAATGGATTCTTTGGTCAATTTGGGAACGATTTTTCCTCAGCGAAAATGTCGAAAAAGGTCATCATTTTTTACAACTTTCCAATCTTTGTCATTATGTATCTTTATAACTAAGCCTTAAATTAAAATTTTATTATAGTAAACTCTACCTGAAATTAACTGAAGAATGTAATTATGTTAGACTTTTAACTCCAAAACGTTTAGTTTTCAAAAAACCTATTTTTTTTAATCGCTTATAACTCGAAAATTATTGACTTTCAACATTTTTGCTAAGGAAAAATCGTCTCCAAATTGGCCAGAGAATCCGCCCTTAATCATTGGTCCGTTAGTTACCGGACACTTTGTATATTATATAAAAGTGTATAGCACGTCAGAAGCTTGTGAGCTTACAGCGATAAGTAAAAACAATTGCGTATTTATTTCATT